CCAAACGGGTTTACTGAACTCGAAAAAGAAAATTTTACAGCGCAAGCCTCCAATTTATGCCTAATTTCAGGAATTTTGTATTATAAAGCACATTCGCAGACACCCAAAATTTATATACCAATCTCACTACGCGCTTTAGTTTTTGATTCATTCCACTCTTCCTTGCTAGGTGGCGGACATTTGAGTGTAAGAAAAACAATAAAGAAATGCCAAAAATATTATTGGCCTAAATTATATTCAGACATAGCAAACTGGACGCGTCAGTGTATCACCTGCCAGCTAAAACATAACCCAACACCGTCATATAGGGCTGAAATGCAAATTGTCCCAAACAATACACTTTTTGCAAAAGTTGGCCTTGATTTAGCAGGTCCTTTCCCGATCACGACCAGAGGGAATAAATATATACTAAACATTATTTGCTGGTTTACCAAGTGTCGTTTCAGTCCCTCTTCCAGACTCTAAAGCTAGAACAATAGCTCTAGAATTTCTCAAGAATTGCTACCTAAAATTCGGCGGATGTACAGAATTGATCAGCGATAACGCTACAGCTTTTACGAGTGATTTTTTCAAAGAATTCTGCGCACTACTTTATATAAATAAGACATATGCCACACCATATTTTTCACAAGGAAATGCTATAACAGAGCGCAGTTTTAGGACTTTTAATAATATTTTGGCGAAATACGTAACAAAAGACACCCCAGATTTTGACGAATTTCTAGATTTCGCAAGCTTTTGTTATAACACCTCTTGCCACACATCAACAGGCGAATCTCCCTTTTTCTTAGTTTTTGGGAGGGATCCTATATTTTGTATCGATCAGATATTAGATACGCGCGTTCACATTCCAGTTGCAATTAGTGAAGAGGCAGAATTTAAAGCTAAGTTGGTCACTACGCTAAGAGAGGCCTGGAGGATAACCGCCGAGACAAGCATAGAGGCCCAAGAGAAAATGAAGGAACAATATGACAAATTGCAGAGAACTCTTGAAATAAAGATAGGGGATAGGGTTCTACTAAGGAATTATACGGGACAAAAGGGAACATCTAAAAAATTCAATCTACCATGGAAAGGTATTTATCGGGTAACTGAAATAGAGGGAGTACACGTTACAATCACCAGTTGTGTGTCGCCTCAGGCAAACCCTAAACGCGTGCATATTAATCAAATAAAAAAGTGTTTTGAAAATTTAGGACCAAATTGTACAGTACCTAATATACCGAGCGATGAAGAGGTTACATTAGAGAAATCGGGCGCTAAGGAAATCACTAACAAACCCGGTTACTCACATTCAGCTAGACCAAAATTGGTACATAATGAAGAAGCAAGACAAGACAATGTAGGGGACAAAATAAAATACTCCTTAAGGCCAAGAGAGAAAATACAATTACCGGCAAAATTTAGAAACGGTTAAATAAAAAGAAACCAGGATTAATCGAATAAGATAAATACATATTTAACAGCTTTACTAACCAAAAAGGAAGTAAGCTGCATAACAAAACTCATTTTAATCAATCAATTCCCCTTCTTAAACGAAAATTAAGAGACAAAGCCGCGGCAAACGCGCTAAATCTTAAACAAAAGAAAACTTAGGAAAATGAGATAGTATAACACAAAATACTTTTCACAACATTAATATTTAAAATAGAGTCAAAAAAGGCTTTCTGAGGCTCTGGAAGCCATTAATGAGGTAGATTTTACTAAAAATGCGTCGTACGCGACGATAATCTTGAAAAACAAATGAAGCCAATATTGGCAATTTCATTTCGGTTGGTAAAGAATGGGCCCGGAGGACCGGACCTGTTGGGGTGGGGCGTGTAAGGTGAAGAGCAGAGTACAGATAAATTTAAAATTTAATTCCCAGCACGCCCACATAAATAGATGTAAAGCTTAGTCGCATAAAAGGAAAGGAAACTACCACTGAAGGGACAGTGATAATTATTCATTCAATCAAGCGCCCATTCACTTATTAATCCCTCTGAACGTTTAATCCATGCATGAGACGTCTATAAACTGATTATTATTACCGCGGATTCCCTCTTGTAATTCCCTCACTCCGACATTCATATTTCCTACGGCAACACTTAATCATGGAATGACAACAACTACTCATGCCCTGGCCAGGCACAGAAGAATAATTCCAACAGTCATTCACCCAACTGCTCTGGCAGCGATCCACCGAATGCCTCTGCTCGTCCCCTATATGCCCGCACTCTTACTTAGGGAAAAAATTTTTTTAATTTAAAAAAATTTTGAGAATTTTGGGTAAAGTAAAGTAGGCTCTGCTTCATAAATACATTATAACTCCACTTTTAAAAAATTTTATTCCAGTTGGAGGAAAAATCTACAGAAATTCAAGCAAGCCTGTTGATCGATATTAAAAGAAAATAAAAAAGAATTACCGTATTTCCTAAAATAGTACTCCCCCCTGAATTAGTACTCCCCCCTTAAATAATACTCCCCTTTGGAGGAGGGTTGAAAAATAGTACTCCCCCCTTAAATAGTACTCCCCCTAAAATAGTACTCCCCCCTAAAATATTTTTCCCCTATATTTGAAAAAAATCATAAAAGAAACATTGAATTATTCTATTGAGATTTACTTATTGAATTATTTTATTTATTCTGATTAGGGTTGTCGGTTTCACTTGATTCTTCGATAACCGAAACCGGACAGTTTTCGCTTACCGAAAACGAACTGAAATTTTAACCTATAATATGTTCTGGATTGATCAAGTGGGGTCTAAAAGTTCCAATTCCCCTAGTTCATCTCTAACTAGATCAAGTAGTATGGTTTGATAAAGGAATTTGAGAGAAAAATGAAGGATGAGTGTTCGGGACGCACTCATTCCCGAGCGTTCGGGACGAAACCCTACTTGTTATCACGCCTAAATATGGATATCCTAGAATTCGTAAGGATATTCGAAGAAAAAGAGATGTGGAGGATAACGGTGATTAATGCTGATAAATCCCTGGACACAGCGATTAGGTACATCAATTTCTCAGTGACATTGAATAATATCGGCGGATATATGCGGATTCGTAAGATTATGAGTCTGAAAAGATTAAGGGGGATATCAGTGTTTTTGAAGGATATCTAGGGAATTTGACACATACAAGTGTATTAACTGGTCGGGAGTTCAAGATGGATATAGTGGTAAATTTAGATATCTACCCTTAATCGATTAAATCCCATTATACTCCTCAATATCACTCCAAATTAACTAATATCCTTCTTGATTTTCCTCAATACCCCTTATTTTATGTCACTTGTGTTTAAATGTCCCGAAATTTGCTCAATTTTATAATAATTTGAATATTTTTTGAGAGCTTTTAATAATTAAATTTTTTGAAAATCCGGGTCGGATCAGGCATTTTTCAGATAACGAACTCAAATTGATTTAGAATTTTGAAATAAATTTTCTTATGATAAATGAAAAAAGGGTTGAAAAATAGTACTCCCCCCTGAATTAGTACTCCCCCCTTAAATAGTACTCCCCTTTGGAGGAGGGTTGAAAAATAGTACTCCCGGGAGTACTATTTTAGGAAATACGGTAGACCTATATCTCATTTCAGAGTCAAGATCTTGACTCCTTGAAAATCAACGTAGAACAGGGATAAGCCTCTTTAAAAAATATTTTCGACCCTTTATGAAGCAGAGCCTATGTGAGTCTTAAATTATTTTTAAAATTCTCTCATCAAAACGATACAAAAATAATATTTTATTTAAAACAAGAGTAACTAAAGAAGGTGTCATATGCCATATAAAACATAAAAAATAGAAGAAGAATCTCCATTTTACTTTAAAAACCGCAACTTTTTGTGAGAAAATAAAACAAAACAAAAAAAGAATTGTTTATATTTATTAGAGAATGAATAGATAATTATGTAGGTGAAAATAAGTCCTCTTGGGAATTTTTTTTTGAAAAATTTTTTTGAAGTGGAAATATATAAACAGGCAATTATTTTGATAAAATAAATTTAAAAAAAAAATAAAATTGGCATTTATAAAATCAAAAAAAAAAGTAAAATTATTTAATATTTTAAATAAATAGTAAATAGTTTTATGAAGGAAATGGATAGATATTAGAGTTTCACCGGAAGTTCCGGTCCGGAAAGTTCCGACGTTTTTTTATTACAATTCCGGGATTCGGAACTCAAATTGAATCCGGCTCCGGTTTACAATACAAATCCATTTAAAGGCAAACAACTACCTAGCTAACTCTTAAATGTGTAGTTGTTTGCCCTTAAATGGAGAAATGAAAAAAAGATTAGGCTAATAACCTCTCGAAAAGTATTGAAAACAAAAACTTAAGTTCTTATTAAATTTTTTTCAAATATTTTTATAGTAAATAACTCAAAATTAATTTTAAAATAATTGAATGTATTTTCGAAAAATAAAAATAATTTCTTTATAAATTTAATTTTGTTTTTACAAATTTATTTAATTAAATAGACTTGCTTAATCTAAAAAAGTTTTTATTTTAGAAAATGATGTCAGTTAAAATAGTAATCCATTAAAGATTTTTTGAAGAAAAATAAATTTATTTTTAATATTTCAAGAATTTTATATAAAAATTCTAAACGATTTTTGATTTTAATAGATTTTGTAATTCTATTTTAAATACAATCAAAAATAAATTCTGTATAGAATTGGATTTAAAAATTGGATTATCACTTTGTGTGGTAGAGCGTAATCAGAATTTAAAAAATTTTTTTAATAATTATTGAAAAAAATTCTTTAATTCTGGGTACATAATTTTTTTTTAAATAACAAAAATAAGCGGCAACCCAAGATTCACGAAATTTTAAAATTTTACAAGTGTAATAATTTCGAATAGATAAAATGCATTTTTAAGAACTTGCTGGTCAGCTTATTTTATTTATTTCCCCCAAATACACTTAATTTTATCTACACTTTTTTCACCCCCAAAGGCGCATGTAAATTCAAATTCTACTTTATTTATTAAAAATAATTATTTAAATAATTATTTACTAACTGGGTGTTGGACTACAACTAGCACTGCTACTAATTCCCCCATTATTTTGTAGATAACCACTATAAGTTGTTGATTTTATATAACGTTTATTGTTGCTATTATTAATATATTTTGGTGGTTCTAATAAATTAGAAGTACTTCCACTTGAACGAATTTGTTGTTGTTTATTATTATTTAAATTACTATTATTTATATTTCCTCCTCCATCATTTAAAATCATTGTACATTGAAGACAACGAACAATTCCGGAATTTTTTGAATTATTTATTTGGTGATAAATATTTATATCATCAATCGGTGTGCCTAAAAATAAAGAAAGTAATTAAAAGTTAAAAAAGTATGGAGGAGTTTAGCTATGGAGGAATTTAAGGCTGATACTCGTTCCTTTCCTTTTTGTCATTTCCACCATTTCCCCCAAAATTACCGAAATATATACCCTTTTTTGATATATAATTTATAAATAAAATTAATTTTTTTTTAGTTTCTATTTTTTAAAGAAAAGCAATAAATAGACGAATTGATTACCAAAAATAAAACCCTAAATTTGTTGCGGAAAAAAAATTTATTTTTACTTAATAATTTTTTAACAAAAAAAAGACTAAAAAACATTTTTGATTAAAAAATTAACGCAAATTGACAACTGACTCATTTACTAATTTTTAACTAAAATAATTTTTGAAGTGTGAAAAATTTTAAAAAAGAATAGAGAAAAAATGAGAATAAATTTTGTGTTTTTTAAATTTTAAAAATATCAAAAAAATTTACTAATTATAAATGCTCTAATATTCACGTGAAAAACGAAAATTTTAAAAATGGAAAGTAATAATTAATTTTTGAAATAATATACCTTCAACCAGGGGTGAGCGCATTGCGTTTTGCGTTTTGCGTTTTTTTCGATGAAATTAACGCAAAAATACGCAAAAAATATACCCAATCTGAAGACAAAATTGGAGAAATCTAGCTTCTTATCTTTCCAAATTTCTCAAAATTTTCGCCTGCGGCGCAGAAAAAGGAAGAAATCTGGCTACTTAGCCTTCCAAAATTTTTAAAATTTTTGCCTGCGGCGCTAAAATAAAGAAGTATAATGAGTGGTTAAGTGAAAGATCAGTTGTCTAGCATCATTTTAATTTAGTAAACCTGCACCAATTTTATTTATATCCTCTTAATCCTCTTATATCTCTTCAACCCCTGATACCTACTTTATGCCAAAATCCCTGTTATCTTTTTAATCTGAGGGCAAAAATTGGAAGAAATCTTCTGGATTTCCAAATTTCTCAAAATTTTTGCCTGCGGCGCCAAAAGTCGGGGATTTAATTACCATGTTTGCATCATGGATCACATGGATTTTTTCAAATCTGTTGATCCCTCCAAAATACATCCGTACTAACCAGCTACTTTGTTAAACACCTTGATCCCTGTAAATCGTCTGATATCCTTCATAATCCCTTATACCCCCTATATTACTCCAAATGGTTCCGTGACTTTTGCGCCGAGAACATTTGCGCCGCGACTTATGCGCCGCGACTTTTGCGCCGCGACTTATGCGCCGAGCGACTTTTGCGCCGGGGGACTTTTGCGCCGCGACTTTTGCGCCGGGCGACGTTTGCGCCGCGACTTTTGCGCCGGACGACTTTTGCGCCGCCACTATCGTTAATAATTATGAAAAACTACAGCCGGATTTTACTACAGAAGATATAGAATAGTTGGAGATCTTCAGATATCAAGATCCGGATCCGATATCCGACCTAAAATTTTCAGCTATCCGGCCTTTTTCAGATCCAGATATCAGGACCCGACAACCCTACACTATAGTGCACCCTCTTCTGGCAGAAAATCATGCCTGAATAGGGGTAGCAGACCAAATATCCTGATTTGAAAAAGTCAAGTTCTTTGAAGATGACCCCTCTAGGGGGTCAGTTTATTGGAGGGGGCTATTGTACTTACCGAAACTATTGTGCTTCCTGAAATTCCTTCAGCTCCTGGACCATTTTTTAAGAAGTACACTATAATTAGGTCCGACTGTAGATGTTATTTTTTAAAATTATGGCGGCGCAAATGTCGCGGCGCAAAAGTCGCCCGGCGCGAAAGTCGCGGCGCAAAAGTCGCCCGGCGCATAAGTCGCGGCGCAAAAGTCGCGGCGCAAAAGTCGCCCGGCGCATAAGTCGCGGCGCAAAAGTCGCGGCGCAAATGTTCCCGGCGCAAAAGTCGTGATACCCTCCAAATCATTACCCATTCAACTTACATGTATCATAAAATCGAGTAGGACTCCCCAACTTATAGTAATACTTCGATTTTTAACTGAAAATATGGCTAATACTTGATAAAAAAATTTTTTGCCCAATTTTTCGTTCTTGCGTTTTGCGTTATTTGCGTTAAATTTTGGCCTTGCGTTGCGTTTTGCGTTTTTTGAGATTGGCTCTTGCGCTCATCCCTGCCTACAACTATCGCCTAGTATAATAATTATTAATTTAATAAATATTATTATTTTACTTGTGCTCGGCAAATGGGTATTTTTCAGAGCTTCCGGTTTCGGTAGGCCGGAAGTTCCGGAATTTTTTGGGTTGGAAGTTCTTTTTGGAAGTTTTTTTAAAAAAAAAGGTTCCTGTTCCGGCCAAATTTACGGGTCCTGCAAATCTCTATTATTTTCGTTAACGGTAATACCGAAATCTACTTTTATTATACTTATCGGTATTAATTACCCAGCTGTATTACCATACCATGCCAAACACTAATATTTTACCAGGTAAACAAAATCCGTGGAAAGAATTTCTTTTCCATTGTTGTTGATAACCAAAAGATGTGTGAGGAGGTTCTAAATGAAGTCTTTGTTGATTGTTTGAATATCCACTTAATTTTGTTACAAATTTATATTCAGAAGAGGTTGTTGTTGTTATAGATGTTGTTGTTTGTTGTTGTTGTTGTTTTGTTGATATTGGGGGAAAGAGGAAAACAGACATTTATTTTATTTAAATTAATTAATTATATATTTTAAATTTAATTATCAAAAAATTAAATATATTAGCTTTATTAAATTAACTAAATTTATTTTTTATTTTTTCTAATAAAAAAATATTTCTTTTTAGTAATTTACCAAGTCATTAAGCCGTTCATTTCTGCATCTTTTTTCTCTCCTTCACCCTAAGGGATATATACATAAATATTCAAGCATACATTAAAGCTTTTGGTTTGTTTTTTTGTCATTGACATAAATTCATTCCCTACTTAAATACTTTTTTAGTATTTTTAAGCAAGTATGTACTATGTACATTATCTATAACCAGGCGGGAGCAATTAATTTGTTTTGTCTGACATTAAAATTTTAAAAAAGAAAAAAAGATTTAATAAAAAATATATATACCGTATTTCCTAAAATAGTACTCCCGGGAGTACTATTTTTCAACCCTCCTCCAAAGGGGAGTACTATTTAAGGGGGGAGTACTAATTCAGGGGGGAGTACTATTTTTCAACCCTTTTTTCATTTATCATAAGAAAATTTATTTCAAAATTCTAAATCAATTTGAGTTCGTTATCTGAAAAATGCCTGATCCGACCCGGATTTTCAAAAAATTTAATTATTAAAAGCTCTCAAAAAATATTCAAATTATTATAAAATTGAGCAAATTTCGGGACATTTAAACACAAGTGACATAAAATAAGGGGTATTGAGGAAAATCAAGAAGGATATTAGTTAATTTGGAGTGATATTGAGGAGTATAATGGGATTTAATCGATTAAGGGTAGATATCTAAATTTACCACTATATCCATCTTGAACTCCCGACCAGTTAATACACTTGTATGTGTCAAATTCCCTAGATATCCTTCAAAAACACTGATATCCCCCTTAATCTTTTCAGACTCATAATCTTACGAATCCGCATATATCCGCCGATATTATTCAATGTCACTGAGAAATTGATGTACCTAATCGCTGTGTCCAGGGATTTATCAGCATTAATCACCGTTATCCTCCACATCTCTTTTTCTTCGAATATCCTTACGAATTCTAGGATATCCATATTTAGGCGTGATAACAAGTAGGGTTTCGTCCCGAACGCTCGGGAATGAGTGCGTCCCGAACACTCATCCTTCATTTTTCTCTCAAATTCCTTTATCAAACCATACTACTTGATCTAGTTAGAGATGAACTAGGGGAATTGGAACTTTTAGACCCCACTTGATCAATCCAGAACATATTATAGGTTAAAATTTCAGTTCGTTTTCGGTAAGCGAAAACTGTCCGGTTTCGGTTATCGAAGAATCAAGTGAAACCGACAACCCTAATCAGAATAAATAAAATAATTCAATAAGTAAATCTCAATAGAATAATTCAATGTTTCTTTTATGATTTTTTTCAAATATAGGGGAAAAATATTTTAGGGGGGAGTACTATTTTAGGGGGAGTACTATTTAAGGGGGGAGTACTATTTTTCAACCCTCCTCCAAAGGGGAGTATTATTTAAGGGGGGAGTACTAATTCAGGGGGGAGTACTATTTTAGGAAATACGGTATACTACATTTAATAAAAAAAATATTTTTTAATTAAATTAGGTAATCTTCTAATTTACTGGTCCCGAGAAAAATAGAATAATTTTGATACCGTTCAACTCACAATCAGCTCGAATAGAGGAGTAATAATAACCCTAAATTTTTAATTTCGAATTTTTACCCCGAATCCGACTTTGTTGAATTCGGGTCCGGGGTTCGAAATAAACAATTTCTAAGCTCAAATTCGGACTCAGCACACTCGATTACCTATTGGTAACCCTCAAAAATATCGAAACAGCACTTCTTCCTAATTTTTTCCGGGGCTAGTAAACTAGAAGATTAGCTTAACTTTTAATTTCTATGGAAAAAAGATGACAAATTAAAGTTTTGGTCTTATTTAAAAATAAAATGGCTTAGAAATTGTGAAATAATTTAAATTATCAATTAAAATTAGAAAAAAATATTCATCTTTTTTTTAAATAAAATTGTTTTTAACAAAATAAAAAAGCTTTATTTATAGCTTTAATAAATTCAGATATATAAATTCAATCAAAAAAAAGAAAAAAAGGCAAATCTCTGCTTTTGGCATTCAACCAAATAAATTGCCATTCCTTCCTCTCCTTTTTTAACTTAATTTACAAATAAACACATATTTCACAAATTCATCTTTCCCCTTTTTTCTCTCATCTTTAAAAGAGGTAATTGGATTTCTTTTTTATATGTATTTTAATATAAAATAGCAAAATTTTAAAAATCGAAAAGGAAATATTTAAAAAAAGAATAAAAATAGAAATTTACTGATATTTAAATTTGGATTTAATAATTTAAAAAATTAAAAATAATTTTTAGGCATAGATAATTTGATACTAAACATAAGTGCTGGGTATGGCTCCGGAAACTAGCTCCGGAGCCGGAGCTAAGATTTTGAAAACCCCGGAGCTATAAAATATAAATCATTTAGCTGGAGCTGGAGCCAAGATTTTGAAAGCCCGGAGCCGGAGCCAACAAATGGCAAATACCCAGCACTGTTAAACATCTTACTAACAAAGAACCCAAATAAATAAATTTTTTGCATTTTGACTACAATAAGCTGAACTAAAAATAAATTAAATTTAAGGTTTATCGGAATACGAATGAGTACATGATAATGAATCAGCAAATGTACTTGGTCACTATCCGTTTTTAACGGATTTACCAAAAACTGGTTGTACTATTCTAATATTTGAAGTCTGTTTAAAAAATTATTCCCAATAATTTTGGTTTCATTGTATTTTCTTAATCTTGAAGCACATGTACCGAGAAATGTCACCTAATGTCAACGAAGTACAGTAAAAACCTAGAAAACTAAACTATTAAAATTCCATTAATAATTTTATAAAAATCTAAAAAAACAATAACAAAAATAACAACAAAAAATCAACAAATATTAAACATATTAAAACAAATCTATAGTTCGACTTATTCATTTCTTGTATACTCAAACCACTGATGAATGGCTTCAGCAACTGTACTTGGTAATGAATTTGCACTTCTTACTAGTGCATAAAGAGGAAAAGGAAAGCATTCCATGTAGGGTCTGAAAGAGCATCCTCCATCAGCAAAATCGGCTATACGCACTTCTGTTATAGATTGTTCAGCAATGTCCATTATTAGAAAGAGAACAGTAACTCTGTCATGTTCAAGATGTTCCAAATGCTAAAAAGATTTTAAGATAATAAAAACTTGATACAATTTCTCTTACTTTTTTAATATCAGTGATACCATTAGCAAGCACATCTCTTCCATCACCCAAAATAATAAGCATTTGTTCAGGTATTTGTATAGAACATTCTCTCCCACTTTTAAAAAGTGCTATAGAGGATTCTAGCAATTGGGAAATGTCAGTTCTTTGTTGATCAAATTTAAATGTTTGAAGAATGTGTAATCCAAGAGAAGGGTCTTCGCCAGATGAAAAATCAGAAAGCATGTGTACAGTAGAACCAAAAGAGCATATTGCTAACTGACCAATTTCAAGTTGTCTGAGTGCTCGTTCAATTAGACATAGAGCGTTGCAAGTAATCTAAAAATATTTTTTCTTTCATTATTAAAGAAAAATTTACCTCAGTAAAATGATTGTGCTTCATACTTTGAGAATTGTCAACAGCAATACAGACTTGATAGTTCCTTTTAGCACATTTTGTTCTTCTCATCCATATCTGATCCTTTCGATAATCACTAGCAATATAGGCTATCAATCTGCGCATATTCAATCTTTTGCCTGTTCTATAATCACCTCTGAAAAAATATATAGGAATGTTCCGATCCCAAAACTTTCGAATAATTCTGAAAATACTACTGAAGTTTGCTGGCAACAGTTGGTTCAATAATTGAACGTAAAGACTCAGCCAATTCAGAAGCCAAAGAAGTAACACTTTCCGAAATAAGAGCACATTTCAATTGAAGTTGTCGAATATCCTCCTCGTTACTGGTTGTTGGAGTTTCTCGTTCTAGCTTATCGAATTCTTTACATAAACTATCCATTGAAATGAGTTCATTTGAATTTATTCCAAAATTGAACTAAAATTTTTAAATTTGTTGATATTAAAGTATTTATATAAAATAGTAATTTACATTTTGTCTCTCGGTGATGTTAAGAAAAACATTTCGTGCCTCCTTTGCAGAAGAATCGTCAATAATTTTAATAGATGCATTGTCTTCATTATCCATTTCAATTTCACCGTCTGCCTCATCATTCTGTTTTTCTTTTTGTTGGTCAGAAGCATTCTTTGCCAATTCATTTGTTTTTACCTCCTTTCGCAAACGTCGTAAAGAAATGTCAAATAATGCACGAGTTCGATTTGCTTGTTCAAGTGTTGAGGTTCCGGTAACAGATAACTTAAAAAGAGACGTTAAAACGAGAAGTTAAATATACCAAAGGTATTTTACAATAATTAAATATTGTATTAAAAATTACCTTTTCTTGTTCAACTTCATCAAAAGCATTTTCTTCCATTTCTTCATCAACTGAATTATCACCTCCTATTTCATTTCCACTATTACAATTATCCTTGCTTGGCTCAACTTCATTCAATTCCTCATTTTGCTGGGAATCCGTCTCCAGTTGTGCTGATTTTGTCGAATTTCTAGCAGCAGAATCTCTCTGATTTTGTTCACCATCTGCGTTTTCTGAGATTAAACAAAATTAAATAAGAGAAAGAAGAACACTCACTATCATTCGAATTTTTATCTTCTCCCTGTGTTCTGGCATCATTCTTTTCCTCTTGTTCTTTATCAATTATTTCAGGTGGACGAGCAGCGTTTGGAGTACCTTCAGCATCCCCAATTGCGTCTGGCTCAAATTCATTATTACATGCTTCATTGTTTTGATATTCATCATTTGAATCTCCATCTTTCTCTTAAATTTGGAATAAATATATAAATTTATTAGTCTGATAAAATACCTTTTTCCATTTCATCTGAATTCCCCTCTCCATTTTTATCTTCTTGTTTTTCATTTTGTTTTTGATTATCTTCATCTTCACTTAAATATTCTTCACCGTTTATTTCTTCATTGTCATCTTTTTCTTCAGTATAGTCATTCTCATGTGTTAACTCATGATCATCAACATCTTTATCAACAGATTGTTCTGCATCAGAAGCATTGTTCTAAAAATGTATAAAATACACATACTTACAAAAATAACATTTTTTTATTTTCACAAACCTCATTTTCATCTCTACGTTCTCCTTTCTCGTCTGGTTCAGTAGCGTCATAATCATCGACATTTTCATCCTCACTTTGATAAGTGTCTGATGACTTCGCTCCCTTTTCTTGATTCTCGTCACTTTTCTGTTGTTTCTGATGTTGAGCAGCAATGAGATCTTCAGTTAACGAATCATCCCCTTTAAAAATTATTTTCTATAAATTAACCAATAAAACACAATTACCATTTCCAACATTATCCTCTTCTTCCATTTCCTGTTCATTTTCGTCGCCTTCATTTCGTTCCCAAAGCTTTGGATCCAACTGTCTTTCTTCTGGTTCGTCCACTTCTCCAAAATTCCAATCAGCATTCGGATCTTCTTCACCTTAATTTAACACAAATGATTTATTAGAAAATAAAACCAACAATTATTATCATCTCCATTCTCCTCATCTTCGCCATCTTGCGCATCTAACCCCTCAATGCACCCAGCAAAATCGTCATCTACATCAATAGGATTATCAACTTCGGGCAACTTTTGTTGTTCATCAGAAGGGTTTTCATTTGATTGATCCACATCCTGGTTATCATTTAAATTATTCTCCGTTCCATTCTTTAAATTTAAAATAAAATCAGAAGAACATTATTAATTAAAAAAAGATTTATTTAAGGTTGATAAAAAAGCCAACTGTTAATTTTATATTTTCATTAACCTTAAGTCCTTCAATCTGTTCCATTGCTTCTAATTCCCCACCAACATCCTTTGCATCATTTGTTAAATCGCCATCACCAAATCCACACATATTCTCAACTCTTTTATCATCTCCTTGTAATGATGGTCCAGATTTTGGAATTGGATTGACAAACCCATTAGTTAATAAATGACTAAAAAATTAATTTAAAATAAAAAAAATATTTAAAACCATCCAATTGCAACCCAATGTTCGTGAAGAGAAATTGAATTGAAAATAAATTCACATAAATAATGCAATAAACGATCATATAATTTGTGAACGCCGTTGGCTAACGTTGAGAATTTGTTAAGTAAATCAATTGATGTGTCGGATTGAATTGAAGAAGATAGAAAAATGATGTGAAAATTTTTGATAAGTTGGTTGCTTGCCTGAAATTAATGGAAATATATAAAATAAAAAAATAACAAATCAAAAAAACCTTAAATGTATTTTGTCCAAAATATTCAATCAAGCTCTTGATCGCATCGAATCGATTCATACTATCGGAGTTAATCAAAGATTCCATTTGATTGAAAATGTTTTGGAGACGAAATAAAAGTAAATGTTGTAATTCATCAAATGAATTTTCATTGAAATGTGACTGATTGTGAGTTGATTGAGATATAACATTTTCACACTCGTTGAAAGAAGGAATTTTGTCAATAATTTCACAAATCCGTCTGGAATCCTCAGGAAAATAGTGCTGAATATTATTTGTCATAATGATAGATTTAAGATCTTCGAGTAACAAAGAGAAATTTTGAGAATATGTAGACAAACGGGTTCTGCAAATTTTAAATAATGCTATTTATATGATTTATATTGAAAAATACTTATTCCAAATATCCTCCTCTAAAATATTGCTCTCTTCTTCAAAAATAATAGGCAAATGTAAAATAAATTCTTTTTCGTTCTCGTTGAGTTTGTCAAGTTTTGTTATAATGCCGAGTAAGTCATCAACATTTTTATTTAATTGAGAAAACTCTAAATCAGATTGGCGAAGAATGCCAAGAGGTTCCTGTAAATTTCCCAAATCATGAGAAGTTTGCTTGTAATGTTCTTTTGGACAACAAGTAAGTAGTTTTCGAATTCGATCAACAATTTGAAGAATATTTTTAATATAATCCCAATTTTGTACATATTTTTCAGTTATTTGTTTGTGGGTAAATGTAGATAAATTATCCTAAATAAATTTAATCAAAACAATAAATTATAAATATTAACCTTCGTCCTCATTAAATTCTCCAACTCCGTCTCAAAACATTTAGAAATTAAATGTAAACGCTTGACCTCCAAAGCACCATTTGTAGCAAGTCCATTAAGTGCACGTAAAATCCAATATAACCCAAATTCAGTGGTGCCACGTAAATTATCCAAGATGGAAGGAGAAAGTTGTTCGGACAAATGAGGGGTATCTTGTGAGCAGCGACGCCAAGAAGCAAACTTTCGCATAAAAACATTTCTCGCGGCAATTGTATGACGAAACAATAAATCTAACTTAAATAAAATTAACATTAGTCTTTTAAAGTATAAATAAAAATAAAAACCGTATCGCCAGCTACGAGTAAATTCCTGACATCCGGTGCCACCTGTGTCAGTGTTTCAACAGTCAGCTTCTCAGAATCTATTTTATGTGCACGTCTTGAACCGAGACCAAAACGATTTAAAGAACGAATTAAAAGAGAAAAGTGCTGTTGACGTTCAAATAAAGCCCGCCCATGTAACTTTACATTTGCAGAGTCAACACCGTCAGAATTATTTGAAGAGTCGTCTATTAAAAATAAATAGGTATATAATAAAAACGATTGTACGACACTTGCGGACCGACTTTTGCGGACCGACCTTTGCGGACGGACATTTGCGGATTGCGGATAAACATTTGCGGATCGGACATTTGCGGACGACATTTGCGGATTGCGGACCGACTTTTGCGGATCGGACATTTGCGGACCGTTTTTGGGAAAAAAATTTAAAAAATTAAATTTAATTTTCGAAAACAAAAAAAAAATATTTAAGTTTATTTTAATATCTTTTCGATGGGCAACTTTTTTTTTTATCAAAATGGTCAACATAAACCTATGGAGATTAGGCGAGGCGCTTGTGCAAAACCCTGCGCTTCGCGCAGGGTTTTGCGGCACGCGCCTCGCGGGGAGTCAACGGTCTCTGGGTTCTGGGCTCGTAACTTAATCCTATTCCTATCATCGATGACATGGTCATGCCCAGCTTCCCCCGCAGCAGCAAAAACTTCACGGATGCAATAGGTAAGGAGCTAAAATAAACGATAATAACTTTGTCTAACTTGTTAGATCGAAAAGATATTAAAATAAACTTAAATATTTTTTTTCGTTTTCGAAAATTAAATTTAATTTTTTAAATTTTTTTTCCCAAAAACGGTCCGCAAATGTCCGATTTGCAAAAGTCGGTCCGCAATCCGCAAATGTCGTCCGCAAATGTCTGATCCTCAAATGTCTATCCGCAATCCGCAAATGTCCGTCCGCAAAGGTCGGTCCGCAAAAGTCGGTCCGCAAGTGTCGCACTACGATAAAAACATTATGAGTACTAACTCGTTTTATCAATGCTTTGATAGGAAACATTATTCATCACTAATTGAAGAAAATCAACAGCAGATTCCTTGATATTACACAATTCATTCAATGCAACCAACTTTTGTAATTGTTTATCAAATTTTATTTCAAAATTGTTGAGCATTTGGGAAAAAGTTGACTCAGAACATTGTTTATTATATAATGGTAGAGAACTTGGGAAAGGATTTAATGCTTGAGGTGGTAATCCTGGCAGTTTGTCAAGCAAAATAGGTGAAAGTAATTCATTGAACATTTCCTTAAAAATTGAATATAATTTTATATTCAAAGGAGTATGAATAATTTTTTTATTTGCGGAAAACCCCAATAATTTATTGCCTTAAATTCTAAAATAACCTTAAATTTTCGTAAAATCCTAGATAATTGAACATGCGCACGCTTGACTGACTCCCGGACACTCCATAAATTCAGATCATTATAAGAAACAACACGAGTAAAATTACGTAATTCAGTTTCGATTGGGCTGTAAAGTTGTGCATAACGTTCTTTAGCTTAAATTGAAACAAAATATTTAAGAACTAAAAAATGAAAATAAAAAACAAACCTTGATCTTTAAACTGCTCAAAATGATCAACAATACATGAAACGCAACAAGAAAGTTTATATTTCTCCTCGCTTATTTTCTCATTCTCTTGTTCAAATAATGAAATAAAATGCGAAAGAAGTCGACCAGTCCAAATACGAGTTTCAAAATCACCCAATGTTGAATTTTGAAGCCATTCAGTAAGCATTAACAATAATTTGTTTTTATCACATTCCAGCTCAAATGCATATTTAAAAAGTGGCCAACTGACCAAAACAGCAAGTTGTGATGTGTCACGTTTAACAAAACTAATTAATTCGTTCCAACATTGAACTTCACGACGGCGCCATTCTACAAGTAACTCTTGTAAAGGATACATTTGCTCACGCATAGAGTGTGCTCTATCCGAAATTGATTCCCATGTTTCGGCATACTCTAAAAATTATGTAAAATACACTTTTTTAAAACAAAGAATCTAATTTAAAGAAAATTAAGTTAAACTACCTAAAATTCGTTCCAATTGTGCAGCATGTTTCATAAGCGGAACTCCTGCTTGCACATCATTAAACATATCAATGGTAGACAAAAGTTGAAGTAAATGAATATTTTCGGGAAATTCATCAAGTAAACGAGATGCAGACATTCGAAGTGGTTCAAGCAATTCACAACATTGAATAAGAGAGCTTGGTTCAGATTCCTTATACACATTCAATGGAAGACAATTAGAAATTATTTGACGTCGTCCTTCATTAGGTTGTTTCACTAATTTTTGACATAGCTCATTGAGTTGTAAAAGATGATGGACTAAAAAAAGCGTCTTAAAATTAGCGTTTGACGTAAAAAAATTATAAGAAAAAATAAATGGACATTATTTAAAAAATAAACTACATGCAAAATTTTCATTTGTTGTTGATGATGAATTGCGATAAAATAAGCCCTGATTAGGATCAGCCAAGAAGGACATGAAATTAAGAAATGGAAGCTTCAGATTTTCAGAGGATGAAAGCATCGCTTGTAGTGCTGAATAAATATCATCGCCGTTAAGAGATAAATCAATTTCTTCGGATATTGGTGTCTTGGTAATTGGTTCGTTTTCAGTAGATACGCTAAAGTCAGGCAAATAGTTGTTGAACTGAAATAAAAGAATATACAAAAACAAAAAAATTATCACCTCTTCTTCATCAACATCATTTGAATTAATAATTTGTCCATCCTCGTCCAATAGATCTTCATTATTAACCTTCTTCTTTACGACATAAAGTTGCTCTTTCTTAGCTTTTGCATATTTTTCATGCCATAGCTCCCAAAGTTTAAAAAGCCATTGCAAAAATTTTATTTGACATTTTTCAACCAAAGGATTTTTGAAGTTTATTTTGATATAATTAATATACCAGAGAATAACGGGAAGTTTTTGACGAGGAGAAAAATTAACAGCGTCAGATAGTAATTGATTAAGTAGAATGTTTAAATTAGTTTGCTCATTGGGTATCTCTTCAAATGGGGACAGAAAAACCTAAAATGTTTAATTTATTTTTATATTTTAAATTTAATTAAACTCACATTAATAATTTTATTGTTTTGAATACAAGTAGTTAATCTTTCCTTTGCACATTTATGTTGTTCCGATAAGAAAATAGCAAGGCAGTTGAGAGCAAATAAATAAGGCATAAACACATCAGGAAAAAGAAGAATTGTAGGAAAATTAGAACAAAACAAAGAATATAAACGTTTCCTCAAAACTTGAACTGTCTGGAAAGCACTCAATAATAAAGAACAAAATCGTTCAATCCTGAAAATAGTTTAGGGGTTTAAAAAACTTAAAATTTAATAGAAAATATTCTAAAACTCAAAAAAACTAACTCATTTTGGTGTAGTATTGTTTGTAATTTATCCAAATCTTCCAAGAGGTGTGGAGTGAATAGTTCATTTAAAGCAGTAGTACAATTATATAATTCATAAACAATATTCTCTTGGAAATTGTCGAAATTAATAAATTTCGACTTAAAATAAATTCGAAAAGACGTAAAATTTTAATATTTATTCTCAAAGTTTAAAAGTTTTAATAATTTTTTTGGGGGAAGATTTTTATTCTTAAAATTAAAAGTGAAGAGGAAAAAGATATTTTTGGGGCATTAGAATTTGCTTTTAAAGAAGGGTGAAAACAAGAATTGTTTTAAAAGTATGATTAAGTTGGAATATCAAAAATATGAATTATTTGGGAAGAAACATGAAAAGAATCATCGGAAAGATTATGAAATAATAATAAAAATAGAAATTGGAATTTTGTTAAAAAATATTAAAAATATAATATTATGAAACATCATTAAGTCGGGCCAGTCCCGACACTCCGGCGGAAACAAAATTTGTAGACAGAAATTAGAATTAAGCGAAAGAGTATTGGTAGGATGCAGTTGATTAGTAGAAGTAAGGAAATTATTGTTGCAATAAAAATTAAGATGTGCAGAGGGTTAAAAAAGAAAGAAAGCGTGTCCAATATGCTCGGTAAATTTATTTCTCCGAATTTTGTTTCATTTGTTTTTGTTTTTATCCAAATATCTGCTTTCTCCGCGCTCGCCAGGGCTAATGTTCCAACTAACTGAAAATTAAAGTTTGAACTGGGACAATGGATTTCACAATTTTCATCGATATTAGAATGTTCTAAATGGACTGAAATAATTCTCTTGGTTCCTTTAGGATCACAAATCACAACAGTTTTTAAGCTAGGACATGTTATATACCCTAGGTTTTTCCCAAAATCTGTTTTGCATTGTAATGTTAATATTGCCCCTCTAACGCATTTGTAACAGCCTTCTATTGACGCGGATTGGACTTTACAACTATTTAATTCAATTTCTGTGCGCAAAAACATTCCTTCAATTCTAACTTCCATTTTTGCGGAAGCTAGGTCAGGATTAAAAATTACTTCAGAGTTTTTTGTTTTAAAAACGAGACCGTTGTGTTCAAAGGGTAAAGTTTGGTCCCCTCTTAATAATTGGGATATTTTTCTCCCATCTTGACAAGTACACGCGGCTATATCGTTGGCCAAATGGCAATCGCAGGTTTTATACGCTATACTACATTTTATAAATTCTCTCGCCTCTTGCGCTGTTTTACAATAAAATTTCCTAAGATTATGCTCTTTTTCAAAATCGATAATGGCTGTAGCGCGATTATTGGCTATAAAAGGTTTGACTAGTGTAGGAGTGGGAGGGATGTTTAAATCATTTAAAACCATTTTTAATTTATTCCATTCTTTCATAAATTGGGGTATTAAATTTACTTCAAAACTTTCGCTTATAAATTCTCCCTTTCCGTCATTTTTAGTTAATGAAACATTTAAGTTTAATGCGATATCCCACTTTTCACATTCAAAGACTTCAAAAATTTCGTTTCCTATAGGTTTTGCATAGTACCTATAAAAAGTGCATGGAGCTGTAGCATAGAAACATCCTGTCATTGGCCAATTATTCATACCTTCGACACAACCTGTAATCCCCGGAAAGTTTTGGACTGCTTCTAATTCTAATATTGTTTCATTTACTTTAATTTCCGCGCATTTATTACCTTTACAACTTCCTGTTTCTGGGCATCTCTTAACACTCATTACATTCATTTCATATTCTCTTGTAAAAAATTTTGTTTTCTTTGCGCAGCGTGCTTCCGCGTTTAATATTTTTAAATTTATCATTCCTGCTGGTCTGTTAGCGTGATCCTCAAATAATATTTTGATTTCTTGTTCCCTAGGTAGAAAATTTAACTCAATCACTTTTTCAAATAAGCATGTCCGCTCTTTATTTTTATTTACAACACATTTTTCTTCCTGAGCGGTAATAGTGGTTAATTGAAGACTTTCGGGAATGGTCAAAAATATTAATACTATTGTTAATTTTATCGGATTTATTTCCCTTTTGGCTTTTATTAATTTTAGTTCACTTTCCTCATTTTTGCCCCGATTACTCTTTATATTATATTTTCTATAAATCCATCGCATTAATCGAAATTTAAAATTTAATAAGCAAAATGCCCCTCTGAATCCAAACACAATCACACGAAAAACAGTCATTATTATTGAAAAGAATATATAGAAAATTATTGCGAACAATATTATAGCAGTTTTTGAAGCACATTGTGGATTTTTAAGCAATTCTATACAAATATTACATTTTATAATTTCACAAATTACTTTAGCTTCACAATTTATCCCAGATTCTTTTACTAATTCTCCGTATCTCCAAAATTTAATTTTAATTTCATAATTTGAAACCAATATTTCTTTTGATAATGGAATTAATTCTTCCAATTTTGGGTGGGGAAAGAGCGCGCATCGATCATTTTTTACACATATCTCTACACTTCCTATCTCTTCTTGTGAAAATATTTTTACTCCCTCTTTGTGACATTCAACATGACATTTTTCACATTTTAAATTTTCTTTTCTTTCAAGAAATCCCCTAACTTTTATTTTTACACGACCCCAAGCCTTCAAAGCTATATTTCCATTATCATTTACTAGGAGAGAAATTTCATTTCCTGGGTAATAACAAAATTTTGTTCCATGTAGCTCACAGATATGGTCTAAACAATATTTAGGGGAGCCTGTAATGGGTCCGGTTCCTATACATTCATATTCTTCGGGTAGTGCTTGTTTTTCTTCAATTTTCATTTCCTTTATTATATGGAGAGAATTGTCAAATAATTGTATTTGATTCACTTCTATTAATTTTAGGGGCCCACAATTTTCAATTTTCTCACATTTTTCTAAAGCCAAACTTTCCAAAATCTTTTGAACATTTTTATTTTTTATTGTTGAATTTTTAGTACTGGGGCCATTATAAAAGGAACATGTTTCGGTCCATTGTGGGCATTTACAAGGTACATTACAGTTTTCAGACTCAAAATGTTCCTTTTTAGAATAATCACAATTAATTATTTCCCAACAAAAATTCCCATCGGGTGCTTTCATTATTTTTAACCCGTTGGTTGCGCACGTTTGCGACTTGACTAAAACATTCCTTTGTCCTTTTTGGCACGGTGCTCCAACGCTTCTCCCCATTAATATAAAAAGAATTAGTACCAGAGACATTAAAAAGACAGAAGTGTTCAGGAATTTATTTTTTGAATTTTTGCGGGAATTTTGTTTTTTCGAGTTTTGGCATTTTGTATTCATCTTTTCTGGCGACTTATAAATATCCGCAATTAACCTATTCATATCATTTCTGTTTCTTTCCGCTAATATTTTTAAATTGTCATAATCTTGTTTTAAATTATTATTTTCCAATTTTAATTTATTTATTTCCTCTTTTAATGGTTCAATTAAATTTATTTTATTTTTTATCCCATATATTTCTTCAGTTATTGACTCCAATTTACTTTCAATTTCGGGTATCTCTTTTATTTCCTCTTGTATTTTACTAGCTAAACTCTGCCCTTCTTTTTCCCAATTAAATTTTTGTTTATTTGTAAATATTCTATTTTTATTTGGATCAATTCTTTCAATTTTTGGCGGGGTGAAATTTCGTCTTTCGTAAAGGAATGGGCAAAGATTCATTTCTATTTCACTTGACACGTCACTTTCTAAATCGCTCTCTTTATAATTTATCTTTTTTCTAGTCCTTAATTTCATTTCGTGCATTTTAGTCCCTATTTTTTGATTTTTATCAATTATTTTTTCTTCGCATTCGGCCTTAAGTTCGAGTGGATACAACAAATCTATGGCCCTAGTTAATATTTTTCCTTTACATAGAACTTTGGCTACTCTTACAATATTGTCTTTTCCTTTTATTGTTTCAATTATTTTGGCTAAATTCCATAAATTTTTTGGCAATGATTTATCCTGTAAAAGAACAATTTCTCCCTTTTCAGGGACATAATTTTTTCCTTTATTGTGTTTGTATTTGTCGGCCCGCTCGCGTAGATATTGCAAGTACTCTTTATTCCAACGCTTCCAAAACATTTCAACCGCTTCTCTAGAATTTTTCCATATGCGGGTTAATTTTTCTTCTGGTTTCTCTCTTTCACAACTTCTTTCTCTTTCAAAATCTATATCAAAGTTTTCTTTATTTCGATTAGGTTGAATTGCTTTCATTGGGGTAAGAACTTCGACATTATCCCCTGGTTCATTGTACACATAAGTCAGAGGCCTAGAATTGACTACCTTTTTTACTTCAGCCAAAAGCGTTCGGAATTCTTCAGACTCTAATAATCGTTTACCAGTCGCAGCTTTCATTGCTGGTTTTACTATTCCAATAATTCGCTCATAAAATGCACCAAATCGAGGAGAAAGAGACGGGATAAATGTCCATTCAATAGTTTCTTTTGTTGAGAACTTTGTTATTTCTTTTACAACTTTTGATGTTAATTTTAGTTGGGTCCCATTATCAGAAAGAATTTTTGTGGGTTTCCCATATTCAGCAAAAAATCGGCGTAAAGCCATTATACAATTATTAGCTGTAAGGTCATTGACCATTTCCAAATGTATGGCCCGTGTCGATTCACAAACAAAAATAACAACATAAATTTTTCCGATTTCTTTATTTGCTTTTCGAATATTGTATGGGCCAAAATAGTCTATGCCACAAAATTGAAATGGATTAGATTTATTTACTCTTTCTTTCGGTAATGGAGCCATTGGGGGAATTTCAAATGCTTTTAATTTTAATCTAGAACAATATTCACATTTTTCTATAACTTTTTTCATAAAAGCTCTTCCTTTGGTGATCCAAAATTTTTCACGTAACTCGGCCAATGAGGCTCTTAATCCACTATGTAAACATTTTCTGTGGGCCTCCATGCAAATTAATTCGGCTATTTTCGACTCTTTTGGCATCCATATTGGTGGGGTACTTGCAGAATTTTCTAGTCTCCCCCAACATTTCCAAAGGGAATACTTATCTTGCTTTAATAAATAATCAATTTGTGTCTTTTTATCGGGTGGGAATTCCAATTGCGCCTGCCTTAATAAATATAGTTGCGCTATTTTTCTTTCTTTCGCTTCTGATTCAGCATTTTTGAAAGCGCATAAAATTTCACTTTTTAAATCAATTCTCTTTCCAATTTTTGTAATAAATTTTAAAAAATATGTGGCTATTGTTACTAATTCATCCCATTTGTTTCTAACTTTTAAATTAATTTCTCCCATTAAAACACAAGCCATTAATTTATCTAATTCATTTTCATCTTGACTTTCTTCCTCAGCTTTCATTTCTATAGGAGGCCATTGGTTCATATCCTTCAAAAAGCTTGGGCCCTCCCACCAAAGTTTATTATTTTTTAATTCTTCCATGGTGCAACCCCGGGTTCCCAAATCGGCCGGGTTATTTTGAGTTGGAACATATCTCCATATAATTTCTTTTTGGCCCCTAATTTCTTCCAATCTTCGCCTTACAAATTTTGGCAATTTTTCTAATTTGCTCGAAATTATCCAATAGAGAATGCATTTACTATCTGACCAAACATACACATTTTTGAAAGGAGTTTTTATTTGATTCTTTATATATTCCACTAGTCTCTTACCCGCAACTGCTGCTAAAAGTTCAAGTCTAGGTATGGTCAAATTATTTTTTAACGGTGAAAGTCGATTTTTTGCTAAAATTATTTTTATATTTTCTCCACATTTCAAATAGGCTGCGGCGCAATAAGCATCCTTTGACGCATCCACAAAAATATGTATTTCGATTTCTTCTTCCGGTGAAAATGTTTCTCTTTTTATTTTTAAACTCATATTTTCTTCATTATTTTGTTGCATTAATTCATTCCATTTTTTATTTAATTCAGGACTAAGTTTCTCATCCCAATCGATGTCATTTTTCCAAATTTCCTGCATTATTAATTTTCTGGGGAGAGAGACTGGTATTAAATAGCCTAATGGGTCAAATGTCTTTGCTAGTTGTTTTAACACCTTTCTCTTGGTCCAAATCATATTTTCATTTATTAAATTTTCATTTTTACTTAATTCTAAAAAGATCTCATCCTCCTGTAAATTCCAATTAATCCCCAAAACCTTAATTATTTTCTTTTCGTGCTGTTCGGAAAATGCTTTATTTATTTTTAAATCGTTAGAGAAAAATTCATGTAAATTCATTTTAATTTGGGCAAATATTTCTTTGGATTGTTCGCATTTGTCCCTTAATTCTTGTGTTGAATTGGCAAAAAGAAATATATTATCTGCGTACATTCCCCCATTTTTTAATTCTAAAGAGAGCTTAGTATTTGTTTTTTCTAAATGATCATTAATAGAGGCCGTCATAAGAAAAGGTGCACTTATAACACCGAATGCCATTCTTTTAAATCTTAATTTTATCACATTACTTTCCACTACTTCTCCCTCTATATCTTTTAGCCAAAAACACCGGGTCAGATCTCTTTGATTTTCCGCAATCGCAATTTGATGGAACGCCTTTTGAACATCAGCTATAGCTACAATTTTACTCATTCTAAAACGCATTAGGCATCCGACTAATTCAGGTAATAACACGGGTCCTCTGTAAAGTAGATCATTTAAAGAATTGCTTCCTTTTGTTTTAAAACTAGCATTAAAAACTATTCTTAATTTATCCTTTTCTTTATTATACACTGGATGGTGAGGAATGTACAATGTAGAATTTTCTTTACCGTCATTATCAATAATTTCTAAAATTCCCTCATTAATTTGTGTCATAATCATTTCATTGTATTTATTTAATCTTTTTGTTTCCATTAACTTTTTATGCACGGACTTTAGTACTGAAATGGCTCCCCAAAAGTTATTTTTTATTTTTACATTTTCATCCTTTAATGGCCAGCTCACTACATATCGGCCATCTGAGTCTCGTGTACATGTTTTTTGAAAGTGTTCCATGGCTACTTTGTCGTCATTCTGTACTGGATTTTCGTGGATACCTATGCCTTCAAGTTCCCAGTATTTATGGAATTCCTTTTGTTCATTTTCTTTAGAAAGCGCTCCAATTACTTTTTGCATTTTTTCATCAATTAATTTTCCAGGTCCGGATAAAATTTTTCCCAATTTTGTATTAAATATTCCAAAGCCTGCTTCAGTATTTTCAGCCAAAAAGATTTTTCCAAAGTAGTCAGAGCCTAATAAAATACCTGGTTTTTCAACAAAAAGAGAGTTTTTCGGAACGTATTTTTTACTTATTGCTTCTTCAATGGCCCTTTTTGTTTGAATGCACATTCTTGTGGTAACATTATCTGCCCCTCTTACAAAAATTCTCATTATTTCTCCATCTAGGCAATGTAGGTCTACCGGGTAAATAGGCATGGTTCTGTTTACTTTACATCCAAATATACCATTTCCTCTAAAAATTTGTGTCTTAACCGGAATTAGTCCTAAATTTTCTGCTATCTCATTTTCTATTAACGAAATGTGACACCCAGAATCTAAGAAGATTGGAATGTTTTCATACCTTTCAGGATGCGAGGGGTGACTTATTATTGCTTGTGTGGTTGGAAGCATTATTTCTAGTGTTTTATCAAAATCTGGCTCTATTAGGCTATTAAACTGTTTATTTTCAATTCCTTCTTCTTTGGTCTCTTTTTCTATTCCAACGCACACTTGTTTATTTATTTCGGTTTTAGCTGAATTGTATTTCTGTGTGTATTGATTGGGGACATTTCTTTTGACTATATTATTTTTATTTATTTTCTGACAAAATGCTGTGTTATGGCCGGGCTTTTTACAGAAAAAACAATTTATTTTTGCCCTACAATTTTTTGAAAGATGTCCCGATTCTAAGCATTTAAAACAAATTCCTAATTCGTGACATTTTTCGGCCCTTTGTTCTTTTGTTGAAAATTTTTCGCATCTTGATTCCCAATGAGCCTCAGAACAAAATATACATTTTTTCTTAGTTTCTTTTTCTTGGAGGGCATACATTACCGAAGAAATTTGTTTTGACCCTGTATTATAATTATTTCGGCTTATATTCGCATTGCCATTACGTTGAAATCGGCCTGAATTTATTTTTCTATTTTCATTAAAACGCCCTTTTAAATTCTCATCTATCTCATCTAAGTCTTTTTGGGCCAAATATACGTGCTGTTCTAATTGAATCATTTCATCTAAAAATTTTAACATAGCCTCAACTTTCCATTCAGGATCGGCCCTAGTTCTTTTTACTATCTCTTTTAAAATCCATTTAGGCATTTTTCTTTGTATTAATTGTTTTATTTGTTCGTGCTCAATATCTTCCCCTAATTGCTTAAGTTGCCTAAGGATACACTCAATTTTTCTTAAAGTATTTTTTACCTCGGGGACGTATTTGCTGCTTCTCGGGATTTTTATTAATGCCCCGTGTAACGCACTTTTTGTTATATTTTTATTACCGTAATGGTCCTTTAAAACCTCTAAAACTAATCTATAATTGAGTGCCGTAATCGCGTAGCCCTGAACTAATTCCTCAGCTTCCCCTCTCAGTGCTTTTCGTAAATAGGAATGTTTCATCTTATCCGAAATTTGTTTTTCATCTATCATACTCATGAAATCTTCATAAAATGCCTCCCAGTTACTTATATCCCCATTAAATTTTGGCAATTCGAGAGTAGGTAAATTTGACTCAACCATTGTTTGATTTAGATTTCCCTGATTCCTTATAGTAATGTTCGCATTTTCGGATGGACAAAAATCATTTAAAATTCTTAAGTTTTCCCTTAGATGTATTAATCGTTCCCGGGCTCTTTCCATTAAAATCATATGGCCTTCTGGACCTTCCGAAAATTCCGTAAAATTTCTAGCTGCTCTTTGATATTGCTCGTCTTCCATATCACCTAACCAATTCATCCAAATTTTATTTTGGCCCTCTAACTCATTTACCGAACAACTTATTTTTTCTATATGTGTAATTATCATTTCTTTTAAAAGATTACATTGCCTGCGACGTTCAGCGCCTTGCAAATTCCCATCTAGGCTGAAATCCTCTTGTTCCACCTCTCCCACGTAGCGGCGCAAACGTTCCTTGATGGGGCGGATAGAAGCTTGAATAACTGCTGCCATTGTTGTAATTTAATCGCGGTGGAATATAATATTGTGCTGAAGGTCCTGGTTGTTGTTGTAAATAATTCTGCTGTTGCGGAATTTGTGGAAAATGTTCTTGAAAATGTTGTATTTGCTGTGGCTGCGGTGGCACTTGTATCACAATTTGTGGTTGCTGCTGTTGTTGTCGTAAATTTCTAAAATTACCACGACCACGCCCACGAAACGTATTAGAAAAATTTCTACTCTGTGGATATCTATCGAAATTAATTTGTCTACCACTATGTAAATAAAACGACCTGTTTCTTTGATAATTTGGCCGATATCTTTCAGAATTTTCTCTATTTCTTCTTAAAGGGCTTCTTCTTCTAATCGGGCTACGCTCTCGTCGATTAGGCAGTTTGAATTATTTTTACCCTTTCGGGTTCGCAATTATTCGCAGGTTCGATTTAGCGGCACCAATTGTCGAAATTAATAAATTTCGACTTAAAATAAATTCGAAAAGACGTAAAATTTTAATATTTATTCTCAAAGTTTAAAAGTTTTAATAATTTTTTTGGGGGAAGATTTTTATTCTTAAAATTAAAAGTGAAGAGGAAAAAGATATTTTTGGGGCATTAGAATTTGCTTTTAAAGAAGGGTGAAAACAAGAATTGTTTTAAAAGTATGATTAAGTTGGAATATCAAAAATATGAATTATTTGGGAAGAAACATGAAAAGAATCATCGGAAAGATTATGAAATAATAATAAAAATAGAAATTGGAATTTTGTTAAAAAATATTAAAAATATAATATTATGAAACATCATTAAGTCGGGCCAGTCCCGACAGAAATTCTAAAAGAAATAATTCAAAGTAAAACATTTAAATTTATTAAAGTTTTACTTTTTTGTATGTCATTTCGTCAGCCCCCAGCATTTCGATTCGATAAACACGCTGATTTTTAGTCCAAAAACAAAAATCTTCTTCTAAACCATTAACCTGGGAAATTGTTGTTTGTCTTACATCAGAAAAAGCAGCGAAGAATTTTGAATGACTGGAGGAAATTGTACAAACTTGATCTATATCATAATCTTTAGAAATCTATTAAAGAATTTATTAATTTATTTCAAAAAATCTAAAAGAACCGTTAATTGAAGAAAATCTCTCAAAACACAAAAATAATGTTCGATATACTGATTTTTAATTTGTAGATAATTCTTTTTCTTGTGAATATAAAATATATTATCAAGAAATCCTTTGGGCGGAGTCAATAAATTTATTTTAAATAAAATTGATTTTATTGAAAAATTTTGGTTAAGGCTAGAAGCTGATATAATAGAAAAATGTTTTTCACATTCAGATAAAAGAATACTGAAAATAAGAAAAAATAAAAATAGAAAAAAACGTTTCTTCACCTGTTTGTTTCACTTAAACATTTTGATGCAAAAACAATATCCCAAAAAAGTTCAGAAGTCCGTTCTAATTGATGTAAAGCATCTGACATTTCACAAACTCGAACATGCAGCAGGAGATTATCATTATAATTAATCCGAGACCACAACAATGAATTGGCAGAATGTGTAATAAAAGCGTTATTGCTCAAATATGAAAACAACTAAAGAGTAAAAATATAGAAAAATATTTCGAAAAATGTAGAAAATTCAAACTTACAGAAAGTGGCTGTTCATTACAATTGATATTCTGCATTAAATTGGAGTTACTCATAAATCGAGAAAATAAAAATAATCGTTCATTTCCTCCTGCATTAATCCAATCAAATAGAAAAGTAGAAGTTGAATTGCTACAAAATAGATAACCAATTTTGTTTAATAATTCAAGTAAATGCTGTTTTAAAGGAGCAAATATAGATTTCTGTAAAAGGAATATATAAAATAAAGAAATAAATCAAAATTATACCGATTCTTCTAAGATTTGGCAACTATTAACTAGCAAATTCTCTTCATCTTTCCAACGTTGTAGACACGAACACATTTGATCATAAGTAGTAAACGGCTTGCATAAACAAGCAGAGACACGTAAAGTAGACAAATATTGTTCTCCAAGATAAGTTGAATTTGTAATATTAGATTGTAATTGATTCCATAGGCAATGATGAAATTGAAAGTTCTCAAAAGTTGAAAGAATAATTTCATCGATAATAACAATTTTGTCATTTTCACAAAGAATTCTTGAAATAAAAATTTTCAGTTGATCGTAAATTTTTGTAATTGATAAACGAAGTTCTACAAATAAAAAATATACATAATAATAAAAATAAAAGATTTACCCCGAGAATTAAAATTATTAGTAACACAATCAAGAATAAAAGGATTATGCTCTAACACAAGCTCTAAAGGAAAAACAAAAGCCATTTGTATAAATAATTCTATTGGAATGTTTAAATGAATTGATTTGTTAAAAATTGCAGCCCAACAACGGCAATAATAATTGATGATAAAAACTAAAAGATAGAATTTGTATTTATCTAAAAATAAATTTTATAATTTCTATTCTTACTGGGTAAATCGCCTTTAAAAGAAGGTCGCAATAAGGGAAAGTAACATTGAATTGGTAATTCTGTTGATAATAAATCTAAAAAATCGATAAATTAAAATCAAAAAACATAAAATAAAAATTACTATTATTTTGACTTGTCAGTACGTCGAGAAACAAACTCAAAATGTTTTTAAACTCAATGCCTAAATTTGATTTCATTTTTGCATAAAAAAGAGCAGCGCATTTCAACAATTGTTCTGGAGGTAGAGAACAAATTAATAGTTCTTTTTTCAGAAGTACTGAATTCGCAAGATTAGTTTGAAAATCAATGCATGGATTAAATATAATTGAAAGAGCATCATAAATGTTTTTATTCCAGAATTCTTCATGATAAGCCAATTGATCGACACAAAATTGGATTTCTAATGTACGATTTCTCATTGCTCGTGAAATTTGGCCATTTCGAGGATTCATTGAAAAGAAAATTCTGAAAATGTAATTTATTAAAGTAAAGAGTAAACGCATGCCTAAAGTCAGGATGACGATGAATCACTTGTGAATCATCCATGGGTAAAAGAAGTTCACCATCTGTACTCTCAAGACAAGAGTTTAAACAGTCTAATACCGCTGAATTACAACAATTAGCATCTTCAACCAATAACCAATGCCCATCACGAAAGGCACGTAAAAATATACTTTCAACACATTTAAAACAAAGTTCTCCACGATCATCATCAAGAAATGTTAATTCATCCAATGTCAAATTCTCATCATTCTCATTGTGTAAAATCGAAGAAGATTCTACCTGTATAAATTAAATATAATTTGTTTTAAATGTGTATTAATATTATAATATCAAAATAAGTATCCGGAAACCTGAATTTGTTCAAACGATCCTAATAAATCAAGTGCATCCGTTCCCGAAGTGAGTCGCATCGTGTGAAGTTGCTTTCCATTCAATGCCGCAAGAATTTTAATTATAGAGCGTTTACCACAGTGTGAAGGACCAACAAGCGATAGAGGCCAATTTGCCTGCACGCATGCAGTTACCTGCATTTTATAATCTGATAAGGTTCAATTCAAAAAACAAATACCTTCTCCAATAATTCCATTTGGGTTGCCAAAAGGCAAAGATGATCATTTCCGACATTTTCATCTAGTGTCTCATTTCCAATATAATTCAATGTAACATTTCCAATTGACAAAGTTGAGGAATTGAGATCAATTTTAGGCAGAGGCACACTGGGCATCCATTTTCGAGGAGAAAATACTCGATTGTAGATAGCATTTATTAACTGCAAATTTAAATTAAATTTTATTGTCAAATATTTTATGCAAATAAGGTTTGTTTTTGAGGAAAAAACTTAAATAATTATATTATATTTTTCGTGCAACAAAAACACATAGAACAATTTATTCTCTTTCTTACATTAGTTTTGCACATACAACGTTAAACGCGATGTATTTATTGGTCAAAGAACTTGATCTACGATTAATTTTCGTCAGCAAAACCCTGCGCGCAACTTTGATTTCTCTGCTCACAAATTTAAAGCAACGAAGGAAAGAAAAGCGACACGTCAATGTTCTAGGTTCGATTGACTATAAGAAAGATAGCTTCTAATAAACACCATTTAAATCCTAACGAACATAATTTTTCCAAATGTTTATCTGATAAAATTTATTTTATAAAGATGAAAGCTTCAGCAAGATTATTTATAGAAATTGCATTGATTGCAGCATCAGGAATCTTAATAAATGCCCATGACAATGAGAAGAAGGTAGATCTAACCGAGATGTACAAAAACCCCTTATCAAATGGTATAGACAAAATTCGACTGATAATTCTGAATATTAAAAATATATAAATTCGTAGGTTTTGGTGATGATATTGACTGGATACCTTGGGAAAATGCAGTGGAAACAGCTTTGGAAAGGAATAAACCTGTCTTTCTTTTAATCCATAAGACATGGTGTCATGCGTGCAAATGTAGAAATATTTTTTAATTTAAATGAATTTTGAACTTATAGCTCTAAAGAAAGTAATGCAACAGTCAAATGCAAGAAAAGCATTCAAAAAACTTAGTGAATATTTTGTTATGGTAAATACTGCAGATGATGATGAACCCTACGAAGAAGAATACAGACCTGATGGGAAATATGTTCCGAGAATTCTATTCTTAGGTATTAATTAAAAATTCCAGAGAAAGCAATTAAACAAAAATCTAAACATATTCAATTAAAAATAGAATTTAAAATTAAATTACTTGAACAGATAAAAATGGTGATTTGCTCCTGGACTTCAAGAATAAAAAGGCGGAGTACAAGAACTATGCTTATTATTACCCAAGTCCTGCAGACATTTTAAATTCCATGAAAGAAGTGATAGCCCATTATGGCATTGAATTATCGAGTGAGAAGAAAGGTGACAAGCTTAAACCTGTAAAACCGCCACCAAAAAAGGAACCGGAAGCGCCAGAAACAAAGAAAGATAAAAAGAAAGTTTCTGACGATGAGACGAAGAAAGCAGAAAAAGACAAAGAAATTAAGGAAGGCGAGAAGAAAAAAACGAAAAAAGAAAGCTCGAAAACATCAGAACTTTAAATGTCTTTACTATCTTGCCATGTTTTATTGTTAGAATTTTTTCAAATTTTTAATTGATAAGGAATTTCAGAAATGAGATTCATTAGATTTTCAATATAAAGTGGTAAATTAAAAAAACAAACCGTTTGCTTAGCCTCTTTAGATGTTAAACGACTTAAATAAACCAAATCGAAACTGAAGTTTACATTTCCACGAAACTACAAATTAATTTTTGACAGAAAATTTATTTAAAATTATTATATAACTTACCAAAACAATTGCTTCCAAAAATCGCAATAAATCTCGTAAATTAAATTCAAAGCTATTTTTCACAAGAGTATTGGTTTCTTTGAAAAGTTTGTTAATTAAAATAATTTTTGCAATAAGTTCATTAGAAAGATATAAATTTCCATTCGGGATTGTTTTAGAATATTCAGTCAAAATAAAAATAAAATCGTCGTCAGTCATTTCTTCAATGAAAATCTAAAAACATATTTACTATCATATAAAATCATTACATAAATATGTATAGATTTAATTATAGTTTTTATCAGACCTGCTCATGGACACGGATACAGGTAATATCAATATGCCTGCGGATATCCACCTGTATCCGCCGTAAATATCCGGATACGGATACCAAAATCAGTCTGGTTTTTATTTTGTTTATTTTATATAAAAATTACTTACTGAAATAAATCGGTTAACAAATGATTTTGGCAGTGCCCTCCGATCACCACCTTGACTATGAGGGTTTTGACAAGCGAAAAAGCGACATTTACGAGCATCAACATCAAAAGTGCGATCCAATTCGCTAATGTAAATATTCTTCCGAAAATCAAAACAAGAATTGAGGCCTTCAAGAACAGACTGAGAAGCCAGGTTCATCTTTTTAATTAAAGGAATTATTTAATCAAACAAATTTAAAACAAACCTCATCCAATAAAATCCAACTGCCTTCTTTGATAGCTTTAAGAACAGGACCGTCACGCCAAGCAAACGTGGCAGATTTTCCATTAGATTGAGCAACAGGAACGTCTGTTCCAAATAAGTCGTAAACATCCTACATATATTTGATAAAGCTTTTAAAAATAAAATTAAAAACCGTCTGTTCAGAAAGATTAAGTCTAATTAATTTATGACCAGTTGCAGCAGCTAATGCCATCACCAAACTTGATTTACCAGAGCCAGGACTACCCTCCAACATTATTGGCTTATTTGACGCCAACGCACGAGCAATCCGGAGTATATTTTTACAAGTGCTTGGAGAATTTATCGAATATCCTTTAGGAAATTTGCAAGCTTCAACACTTTCGTCAGCACATTTAATGAAGAAAGGCCCAATTGAGAGGCCATAATCGTTTACAATGATATCATTACATCCAAAATGAGGTAGAACATTTTCACAAATAAAACCATATTTTTGCACAACTGTTGAAAACTAAAAAAAGACATTAATCGAACAAATATCTTCATAACCTTAGCTCGGCACTGTTCGATTATCAAGTTTCTATTGAAAGACATACGCTGGGGCATAACTCCTAAGGCATCTAAGAAAGTTGCCTCAATGGAATGGTAAAGTAATTTGACAAGCGTATTTAAATTAACATCTGAAGCAATTGTATTCAGCATTTCCATGAATAGCTCAGCCAATCCAACCAGGTCTCGCAATGAAGGAGAAAATCTGAATTTAAGGATATCAATCTTACCGCACATTAAATTCTATCAATAAACTTTAAAATGATTTATAATAGTTAAAAAATTTAAATTATTTGATAAAGATACTTTATGATTTCAGCAAGTTGATTGGTAAAAAATTCAGTGAAGTCTATAAAAACACTTGCAATCTTATCCGTCAATTCCAGAGTCAATTTTGCAGATGTATCACATTGTAACCGCCGGCGAAGTATTTCTAATGCGTCTTCTCTGTTATAATTGTTTGGACACCAGATTTCTGTAAATCGATTGCGCAATGCTTTTGAGAGCTTAATAATATATGCTAATTTAGTTTGGTTATTCAAATAAACCTCTCTCTTTCCATAATCATTCCCAGGATTCATCGTTGCTATGAGCTGAAAACCACAACTCGCCCTAACTAATTGCTCAATTGAATTAGAATCTCCAGAAGTAGACGAAGCAGGATTTGTTAGTAAAATTGTACGTTCCGATTCAAGTAATGAATTAAGCCTTTCAAGCACAGAATCAGAAGCTAGCGAGATCTCATCAATTAGTACACGTTGACCGCGACGCATGGCCTGCACAACAATACCATCTCGCCATTGGAAAGTTGGGCCGATTTTTGAATCATGAAATGGACGAACACTTCCGAGAAGATCAGAAGCATCTGTTCGCTCATGGCAGTTTATTGAAAGAAGATCACCCTAGAAGTGCAAAACTATCTTATAAAAATAAAATAAATAACGTACAAAAAGATGAACAGCAGACGTTTTGCCACAACCTGTATCACCAACAAGTAGAACAGGTTCATCACATTTCCAAGCCTCTGAGCAAAGAATAAGTGTTCGACGTAATTGTGCAGTTAGTACTATTTGTTGAGGGATGATGAAATTAGGCATAAATGGAGATTTTTGATCAAATAGAAGATCGACGTTGATTTTACGTTGCAATTTTTGTTCCAATACATTTATGACTTCTCGTTCATCATGAGGTGTGCGACAGCGAGTACCAAGCACAAAATATCCATGATCGGCCATTGATTGTCGCCAATCATCGACTTGTTTCTGAGAGGCAAGTCGATTAGCCCAACGGAAAAGGTCTCTTTAAAAATTAATTGAATAATAAACAAATTGTTAAATCGAAAACCTCAAAGTCATTAAACCATCTGATGAAGAGAATATTTTTGAGATGGCTCTTCGATTACGCAGTTCATATAAAACGTCGACGGCCAATTTTGCTTGTTTAGGTGCTACACCACAGCGATGTTGAACAATTTGAGGAAGTTCAGAAAGCGGAATTATATCACATTGAATCACCATAAATCTGTTTAGAAATGCACGAGAAAGGCGTTTACGACCAGAATAAGCACCAAAAGGATTCTGAGTAGCAAATAATTGGAAGTTAGGATGGGCCTTGATAGTGTGATTGAGTTCAGGTACAAAAAGTTCACGGTTGTCGTCGAGAAGCTTTAAATAAAAAATAAATTTTAATTTAATTTGCCCAAAATAAATTAATTTAGAACATACCCTATTCAATGCTTCAAGTACAGCACTAGGAGCCAAATTTAACTCGTCGAGAATTATCCAGTGGCCAAATTTAAGGGCTTTTAAAAGAAGACCTTCAGTAAAAACAAGCCTTCCGTCCATATCAGGAGCATAAGTGCCAATATATTCCTAATCCACAAATAAATATTTAATAAGGATTAATTCAAAAACCTGGATATCAGAATGTTCATGGTTGTTAATTCGATATACACAATTACCGCTCATTTTGGCAAGTTGAATAACCATGGAAGTTTTTCCAGCAGATGTCTCTCCTTCAAGAAGAATAGGATATTTTCGGGTAGAAACAACATTAGCCAATAACTTTATATTCTCTCTGACTGATGGAGTAAAAACATAAACACCTTCGTTAGTAATTGGTTCGGAGCCTCGAGAAATTGGAAAACCTTCGATTAATCTGTAGAAATTGGTAAGGATTTAAAATGAAATATTTAAAAAATACATAAATTTGGAGTCATCAATTTGGCCAGCTTTTGGTGCTGGAAATTGAAGAGAAGATAAACCAAATGATTTCGCCAGAATGTCAGACATCATAATTCGCTGATTTACACCAAGTTGACTAGAAAATGAAAGACGGCAAGCACTCAAAATTGAAGTAAGTTGACCATTGTTATAATAATTGTCACTGACCATTGAAAGTGCACGGCTTAGATTACGTAAACTAAAAAAAAGAAAATTAGCTGAAATAAAGGAAATGAAATAAAGAATAACCTGAATTTAAGAGGAAATGAAGCAATTATTTCTTTGTAAAAATTCAGTGTTCCATCAATCAAATTTTTTGGAAGCGAAGGAAGATGACCTCGAATAAGAATATGTAATTGATCCACATCGACAATTTCAGAAACGAAAATTTCGGTAAATTTTGCGCGAATTCCGCTTGGTAATAAACGTTTTCCTATATCTGTTGCGTGATTCATACAAGCAAAAAGACGAAAGTTCTTATGAACATCAGTTGATAATTCGAGCAACTTCAAAGGAATTTAAAAAATTAAGTTAAAATGGAAACCTCAACAATAACATCCAAACATTCAGCAGATGCCAGATTTATTTCGTCCACTAAAAGCCATTGCCCTTGCTCTATTGCTTCCGTGACTACCCCTTTGACATAAGCAAAAAACATTCTACGACGCCAACTTTCACCATCATCTTTATCAGCAAAATATTTAATAATTCGGGAAGTTTTATTTGCCAATTGTATCCACTCATTACGGGCATCAGGCAATTTACGACAAATTCTAGTGCTCGACTTCAAAATAAGTTGAAGAAAATCACCAAAACGTTGAGAGTTAAAACATTTCTGTTGGATAAATAAAAGTAGTTAAAAATATATTAATTTTTATAAGCATACATTGACGTTATTCAGAAACTTGGAATTTTTCTCCAAATCAAATGAAATTTTGAACAATCGAAAATATTCATCAGCCAAAGGTCGAAGAATATTTAATGGCGATGTTGGCTTATAACTAAAAATTTAAATTTTTTAAAAACTAATCTTTGTATAAATTCATTTACCCTCCCAAAAGATCAGTAGACTCCGATTCCTGACTTAAATTAACAACACGTAAAGGAACACGAAGTAAATGAGATAAATATTGAATTGAACTAGTTTTCCCAACACCAGTTTCACCAGTTAGAAGAATTGGCTCTGGCGGAGTTTGAATTATTGAAGCAGCCAAACGTTCAAGTAAACATGTAGCATCACGTGTAAGAACAAAATTTGAAGATTGTGAACTAAAAAATAAAAATTTTGTATAAATTCATTTACCCTCCCAAAAGAGGTGAATGAATCTTAAAAATACTTTATGTTTGTAAGCAATCTCCTTTCCAAATTAATTCTACCAATTTCCACATTTTCGTTGTTAACAACCAAATTAGGATGTCTAATATTTAATAAGAAATTTTGTTCTTCTTTTGAAAGTGAAAGAGCTTCAGAAATACAATTTGCCACATCTAATTTAAGAGAAATTGATGTTAAATGAACTGCCCAGACATCAAATAATTCAAGAAAAATTGCACGAGGATCATTCAAAATATTTGTCGGAGAAGAGCATAAACGAGACAATGCAACAAATAAATCCCGTGTATTAAGTAAACGATCAATTGATATCTTAATTGATAAATAAAATTGTTGATTTCCTCCTCCTATGCACTAATTAATAAATTTCTGTTAATTAAAAAACCTTTTTTGTTTTTATTAAATCTGACACTGCAACGAAAAGTGAAATAAGCTTCTCCCGTATATTTTCCAATTTTGGATATTTTTGTTTAATAATATCATTTAATTGATTAAATGAAGGAGCAGACAATTTAACATTATAAGGATATTCTTGTAGAATTAAAGGAATTGAAAATAATTGTTGAGCATTTTCTTCAATAGAACCCAAAATACGGCAATTTTTATTCATTTTAATTTTCATTCCATTAGGTAATTCAATACATTCATTATTGACAAATTGTAAAATAGCTGAGGCTAAATCAGGACCTCCATGATCAATATTTTCCAAAAGGATAAGACATTCTTGTTGTAAACACTAAAAAAGAAATTTAATTAAAATGTTGTAGATTAATAAAAATAAAAGTGAAAAGTTAACAGACCTGAGCGAATTTAGACGGCTTCCAAACAAATTCTCCAGGAACTTCGGTGCAAGTGTAACTTCCATATAACAACTTAATAGAAATAATTAAAAATTGTTTTTAAAATCCAATTAAACCTTAACATCAACTTGGTGGCTAATTTGTAAAATATTTAAATTAAGTCCGCATTTTTCACTGATAATTTTTGCTGAATGGGTTTTGCCTGAACCAGAAGGCCCCTGAAAAGTTAACCAATAAAAAATCTGAAAGAGATAGTAAACCTGGATAACAACAAAATTTTTAACAAGAAGTAATTGAGCAATATCATCAACTGTTTTGAAAAAGAAATTTAAAAAAAAATTTGTATTTAATAAAAATTTTCTTAATTGAGAGTTAAATAAGAAAAGTCACACACACATAATCCAAACTATATCTTTAAAATTTTAGGGAGCAGACCAACATACAGCGAACCCAACGTACCGTGGAGCTATAACTTCGTTCAAAATAGTCGAATCCGAGACGCCTTGGTATGGTTCGATGCATCTCGAAGAGCCGAATCGAACCATACCAGGGAATCTCGGATTCGACCATTTAGAACAAAGTTATAGCTCTGTACCCAAAATTTTATTTCTTTTAATGATAATGTTTTTATGGGTATTAGAGCTGACCACGAATCTGAAGACGGATTTTGAATAACGGACACCGTTTTCGAAATAAAAACCTGTGACTCTAATATAAAAACTGATTTTCATTAAAATTTTAAATGTGTAGTCTGTATTGTGTAGGATTACCAATGAAGAAGCCAATTATTAAAATTAACAAACCAAAAAAACTAGTAGACTCTCTTAATGATGAAGTTGGAATGATAAGACAATCAGCACTTTCATTAATTTTATTGTTGTTAGATAATTGTTTATGTTTTGATGGGAATTCTAATCTAGCCTTTTTCAATGCTGGCATACCTTCCATCTTTATTAAATTAAGTGCTTATTTAACGTCTAAAACAAAATTAAAACAAAAAAATCAGTTAAAGTGATCGAGCTTATCAAAGAAGAATTTTTCAATGATAAACGTGAACAAGACTCAATATGCACTTTTTTATTTTTAAATTACAAAATGCCAAACAATTTAAATGACCCTCGTATTCAAATTTGAAATCCGGGATCCCGCATGCGTGATCAAATTTTAAAAAAGTTTACGGGAGTAACTCCCAAGGGAATTATCCCGCAAAGACCTGACTGATCAATCTCCCGATTGTCACTTGATCAATACCCTCTTCAATTTTCATCTTCTGTTTTCTTCCGCCTTCAGTCTTCCGCTTTTAAGGTACGGTAGGGCCATCCCTGGCCCCATACTCCAAAAAATCGTAAGTGCGAAAGTTTTTATTCGAAGGGAATATTCAAATATACAAATTAGTTCAAAAACAATTCGAATTTAGTGATTACATTTTACTGATACTCTGTTTTATTGTGGGGCATTACATAAAGTTTTAAAGCTAACTTTAATATTATTTTTCTTAAATCTACTTTTTTACTATAAATTCAAAAAAATACAAAAGTTTTTCCAAATATTCCAACGATTTCCGTCAAATCTTCGAAAAATTCAGTCGGTGATGATGGTCAAAAGCTAATAGTTTATTTTCATCCGCCAGAGAGCAATTACGTGCATCCGCACTTTTTATGATTTACTTGCCTATTCAGTTCTTTCAATTGTTATTTTCTACTCTTAAATTGTTGAAATCTTCTAGTTATTTTTCTATTTTATAAATTTTGAGGCATTTTACTAATAATATTTTAGGATATTTATTTAAGTACTTTCTTGTCTTAAATTCTATATTATTTTTATAAAAAGATTGTATTAATTTTTAATAGAAAACGAATGAATTTCAATTATGCTTATTGTTATTTTTCTGATGTAAATTCTCTCTCTCATTGTCTTTCACTTTATTTTTTAACAATTTTACGCTTTTATTACTTTCCAGATTTAAATGACAAAAATATTAAAAAAAACCTGAATTTTTATGTTTTTTGTATTTTACTTGATGATTTTTATGTTCTCTAAAAGAATAATAAAATAGCCGGTAAAAGGGTGATTAAAAGTTAATAAAAAAAAGAATTCGATTTTTTAATTGCGTCAAATAGTCTCACTTCTTTCGGTTGGGTGTTTTTGACCTTAAATGCATTCTTTTACTTATTTTCTTTGTTTTGTGCATTATGTTAAGGTTATTTTGTAAAATTAGCACCTTTTATTTAGCGTAAAATCATCGAGGTGAATAAATAGAACATACAAAATTAAATTAAATAAAACAGTCTATTTTTTGTTTAATTTTTTTTATTTTTACGTGCGCTTTTAAAGTTTTTACTCATTTTTGTCAAAATAAAGATATAAATCTATCAAAAAATTCTACTAGTTTATTCGACTAAAAATAAGTTTATTAAATAATTTTAAATTATTTAAACATTTTTTTTGAACATTCTGATTTTTGCTAAATATTTTTCTTTGGCTTGTTCCAAGAATCTAAACTTTGAAATTTACAATTTTTGGAAAATATAGGGAATGTTCCACCGGAAGCAAAAATTCGGCCAGAACCAGGACTCCAGGAAATCATTGAATATTATTGTTAACGGCCCATTTAATGATATTACCTAGATACTTTTTTGAAGCTTCAAAAGGAAGTTTAATTTATCTAACAATACTTATATATTCAAATTATTATAAAAATACCGTATTTATTCTAATTGAATGGCCGTCATTCTATTTTTCATTCAAAAAAGTCATTCTATTGGAGGGGCCATTCAAATAGAGAGCCCCATTTAATTAGAATAATTGTTAGATTTAATTTAAAAAAATGATAATTTTATTTATTTTTTATTTTCTTCAAATTAAATTTAAAAAAATTATTAAACAACAAAATGATTTAATTAGACAGTAATGACTAAAAATGATTTAAACAATATTTTATTGAAAGAAAACCGAAAACAAAATTTAATTTTTCCTTTAAATTTTGCAATTTTTTCTTTTAATTTGTTCTACTCTGAGGCAAAATTAAATTTTTAAATTAAATTTGATATTTAATATTCTAGCTTAACTCCCGAAGAACGAGCAGATATAGCTAGAAAGTTTAAATATTATCATAAATCTGTTAGGCCTTCAGAAGAATTTAATATGTTAAATACAATTAATGGTTGTTCTAAATTTTCGGAAATTATTTATTTTTAGGCACATTTTTTCGTTTATTAACTCAATTAGAATTAATTGATACTAGAGAATTTGAATTTGGAGTGAGAGATTAAAATAAATTATTTAATAATTATTTATTTAAAAGAATTCCCCAAATTATCTTGGTTTAGAATTTTCTTTGTTTCTCCATTTTCGTGATGACAGACTGCAATTTAGGGATTTAAATGATTTACCTATTTCCTTACCTGATGAATTTACTCCTTGGCAGGTAAATAAATAATGTTTAAATATATTTTCTAAAATTATCCGGGATGAAAGTTAAATATAATAAATTTACCGTATAACCTGTATTAATTGCCTTCACTCAAATAATTGCCCCGCTTCTATTATTTACCCAATCCAACGGTAGATCGAAACAATAATTACCCCCAAACAAGTACCCTAAAACACGTTCAAATTTCAAACCTCGTATAATTATTTTACTCCCTCCAGCGGAAGGTCGAAACAATAATTACCCAGGGTAGTTATTAAGAAATATACAAAAACAGTTTAAACACAGTTATTTAAATTATAATAATTATTTAAAAAGCCTCGTATTCAAATACTTCCTCTTTTAACAACACAAACAATTCAATCACAAAAAAGTATTCATTTAAATCCAAAAAATGGTTTAATTACTTTTGTATATCGGTAATTAATTTTAGAAAATTAATTTTAATTTAATATTTAAAAAAGTTTTTCTGGTCAACTTTTTTGTAATTCTGATATTTGGAAAGAACCTTTTGAAAAATATTCTTGTCAATTTTGGTTTGAAACTGAACTTGGTAAACAATTTATTTTTTAATTTAAAATGTTGTTTTTAAATTTTAATATAGATGAACGTTTACAATTAACGGTTATTCGAGATCTTCGGCCTATGGAACAAATAAATAAAATTAGCAACGAATATGGTAATACATATAACATTATTAATTCTTGAAAATACACCCTTCTGTGGCGATCAGAGGTGGGTCGGAATTCCGATTTCCTCTGATTTCCGATTTCCAAAATTTTGGAAAAATTTCCGATTTCCGATAATTTTCAAGGCATATTTCCAACTGAGTTTTCCAAAATTTTCAAAATTTTCGCCTGCAGTGCTGAAAAAGGAATAAATCTGGCTTCTTGGCCTTACAAAATTCTAGTCTTCCAATCTTCCAAAATTCCCACCTCCGGTGGCGATGCCTTCTCGAAAATTATCCCAGCCCTTACCAACATTTCAGTCAGGGAACTACACTATTTTTTGTCTCTCATTCCTCGCCTATTAAACATTTTTAATTTTTAAACAAATAATTTTAATTAATTTTTTATCTAGAACAATGGCCTTGGTTATTATTACGTTTCAATTTTTGTTCTTCAAAATGGAAAAAAGCTTTAATTTGTGAATATTTACCTTCTTTAATGCTTTTTGTTTGTGCATTACTTGCCCAATGGAAAAGACGAAAAATTCAAGTTGTTGTGTTAATTGGTGTTATTATTTGTTTAATTTTATTGGTAAAAAGAGATTTTTTAAAATTTCTTAACTTTTAAATGTAGCACAGATTTTTTAAATTTAATTAAAAATATTCCAATTAATTTAACTAAAAATTTTCTTTTTTTAAAGCAAAATATACTTTATTCAAAAAATATTTCTTCTACTTTTTCAATAAAATTAAATTTAATGGATTTTTGGTTAGCTGGAATTTTTGTTCATTTAATTTGTTTACTTTCAATTGATTTGGCATTCCCCGCACGCCGAGTGATTATTTTTAAACAAAAAATTATGAAAAAAAGAATTAATGATAATAATGATAATATTCCTTTAGAAAGTAGAGAAATTGATAATGAATTAATTGTGGTAAATTTGAATAAATAAATGTTAAATTAAATATTAAAAAATACCTAAAAATATAATTCAAAAAATATTTTCTAACAATAATTTCACTAAAATAATGTGTAATTGAAAAACGAAAATGTTTTTAATGAATTATTTTTTTTTAATTTTTGGCAGGCCGAAACTTGCGGACCGACTTTTGCGGACCGAAACTTGCGGACCCGACGAATTTCACAATACATAGCTCATTCGAAAGAGCTCGACGAGTTAAGTCGAATGACATCAAAATCATCGTGATTGTACAAGCTTGGACAAAGTTACGATAAAAAAACAAAAACCTAAACCTATGATCCGCAAAAATCGGTCCGCAAGTTTCGCACTATGTACCTAATTTCTAGCATAAAGGAGAAAGGAAACAAAAAAGAAGAATAACAACTACTTTAAATTCAAGTAATTATTCATCTCCTTTAATTTCTACGTTGTCTCGGAAGTTAGGAGTACATCAACACAAATGTTAAAAAATATTTCTTTAATTAAATGATTCTTTATTTAAATATTATTTGATTATACCTATTAGAGATTGAGCGGTTCTGGACCAAAGCCTGGGTTTTTCCTGTCTCCAGAGTCCGGGCCCAGGCATTTTTTGACCTTCCTGGGTTTTCCCTGAGCTTGGGTCTTTCCTGGATTACAGGCCCAGGATCCGGCCCAGATCATTAAATCAAACCCAGAGTCCAGAAACAGTCCCAGGCTTTTCAAAAATCTTAATCTCCAATACCTATACTTAAACTTTATTTTGCCCTAGTACTTTATACCAAGATACAAGTATGAATTTTGTTACACCCACTCCAGCATGTGTATATCGAAGGGCAAATTTCTAAAAAATAAATAAAAATTATAAATTACCTAAAATATTTCAAATTTTATTTTTTTTCAGTCCCAACTTTTGGCCGTCATTTACATCATCATCTTCCTTCATCTTCCAATTCATTACTTCATCATTATGTTTCAAGCCCTAAACTTTCTGGCAATCAACAAAAACAACAAAAATCTCCATTATTTTCAAATTATAAACGACGAATTCTTTCTGGTAATTTATTTGAAAATTTTGATCAAAAAATTATTCTTTTTAACGACAAAATATGGATAAATATTATTATATTTTCAGTATTACCAACCTCTATATCCTCATCACCTTCCTCTTCCTTTAATTCAACAAAATGCATTAATCCCTATAATCAAATAATTAGAACTTCATCAGTTCCTCCATTTAAAGCTACTTCCTCTTTCTCTGAGGCTGGTTAAAATTTAAAAAAAAATTAATTAAAATATTTTTTAAAGTGTAATGAAGATGTTAATGATGGAAGAAGGCAACGAGCAATAGCTCAATTACTAAACGAAATGGAAAGAATTAGAAATAGTGACAATGATGATAATGAGTAATTAATTTCGTTAAATTAATTTTATAAATTTTTGAGTGCCGTCGATGGAACAAATAAATTAATTATTCAATCTTCTAGTCAACAAAACTCTTCTTTAATAAAAAATCAACAAAATAAACAATTTTTAAGAGCACCACCACCTTTACCCCCTTCCAAACCTCCTACTAATATTCCTCAATCCTCCCCACCTTCACAACAACAAAATAACTATTATTCATTTAAATATCCTCAAAATGTAGCAGGACAATATAAAATTGGGAAAGTACAACAATTTTCTGATGAGGAAGAAGAAGAGGAAGAAATGGGAAGAATTGAAGGTAGTGGGTTGGGAATGCCTCGACAGAAGAGGTATAATCTACTAATTTATCCTAAAATTTTTGAGGAATTATATTTTAAATTTCAATAATTATGAAATAAAATATTTATTTAATTACTTTTTCTTAGAATTCCATTTTTGGCTATCTTTACAAGTTTTTGCATTTTTCTCTGTGGTTACCTCATTTTAGTTTTGATGGTATTATTTGAATGGCTATAATTTCGAATTATTTTATAATTATTTATATAAATACATATATTGCTTTAAATAATTGGATTTATGAAAATATTTGAAAGTTTAACAACCAAAATAAATTTCCTCGACGGAGAAAGGATTTTTCCCTTTTTGCGCTGCAAGCAAAAATTGCTGAATTTTTTGGATGGTCAAGAAACCAAAATTCCTTCTTTTCTATGTCGCAGAAATGTACGAGGAGGGCAGAAAAATTTTGGGTTGTAGTATAGTATACTGGAAGCAAAATTTATGTGTTAAAATTTATTTTAAATTTATGCAAAATTTACCCAAAAAATTATCCCTGTGCTATAATATTTAGGGGCCTCCGGTATATTATATTCAAATTTTTCTACTACTAGTAAGTACAACCCGAAAATGTCGATACCCGATTCTTTGCAGATTCCCATTTCTTTTAAATTAATTTTTGTTTATATTAAATTTCAAATCATTTAAATTTATACTTTTTATTTATTGATAAATTTTTGTTTTTTAAAAAATTATTTTATGAAATATTATGCAAATTTGATTTTCTGAAGGAATGTACTATTTTCTACGTGGAATTTAAAAAAATGGGAAGTTAAAAAATAAAAAAAATTAAAAAATATTTTGAAATAAATAAAAATATATTTATTTATACATAATTTTATGATTAAAAGTTAAGAAAAGGAGAGAGAATATATTTTTACATTTTTTTAATTCCAGCAACAATTTTCATAAAAATACCTATTATAAAAAAACTTAAATATAGAAAATGAAGAATTAAAAATAACTATGAAAGCTATCGATATAACGAATTTTAAAATAAATAAATATTAAATTAAGATTCAGTTAATCAATTGTTACATTTCATCCAATCTACTCGATGAGTTCTGTCGAATGATAAATAACCCGTTTAAGTAATAGATACAAGGATAATCTAAAAACCTTTCACCTCCTACTAATATTCCTCAATTCTCCTTTAATTGATTATTATCAACTTTCGTGTTGCTAAATAATCACTAAATATGTGTATATGTGTTCAAAAATCCAACACACAAATTTATATAATAATTTTTATTATTTATTTTTTAATAAAAAATAAGTGGCTTTAAAAGCAGTAAATGACAACACCAAATTGATACTTTTAAACATTCTAGTTATTTTTAAATAAATACCAAAATAATATATTTAATTTAATCAAAAAAATGTATTTTTATTTAATTAATTTATTTATTTTAATTAAATTAATTAATTCCCAAGACTTATTTACATCTTCTGCAGAATTACAACAATTAGTACATGTAGAAAAAGAAATTCCAAAAATTATAGAAAATTATATTTTATTGGAAAATAAACGTTTAGAAAATTTAAAAAGGTAGTTTTCGAAATTAGTAGAGTTGTGGGTACATTAATATTAAAGAAAATAATAAATTAAATAGGGGTAGTTAAAATTTAAATATTACATATCAGGAAAACCAAATTCACGATTTTCGGGAATTATGCTTTTTGTGGGGTGATTTTGAAGATATCTAGGAATTTCGAGTATATAGGAGTATAATGGGTTCCCTAAATCCTTCTATGAATCCCTCAATATCCCCTACACACCTATAATTATCTTGAAAAAAGTCGGGTCGGATTTCGGGTCGAAAAAGCCCATGTTTCGGGTTAGGGTAACCCTGATATCCCTAGTAGGGAAATTATGGGGATATTCTATAATAATTATTTTATAAAGATTTTTCCTAAAAAAGTTAATTTATTTAAATAATTTTATAGTATAGCAAATAAATATTTAAAAGAAGAAAGTGAATTATTTGAATTGGAACCAAAAAGTGTCTTGAATCCACTAAATGCTTTTAGAGTAATAAAAAAATTAGCAAACACTTGGGCAGAAATTTCAAAGGAAATTCAATCAGTTTTGGCCGAAAATTATTTAAAAAATATTTCAAATCAAAGAGAAACACGTTTTCCTACGGAGGTGAATTTTTTTGATTTTTCTTAATTAAAAGAGAAGATTGGAGAGTTTTAAGAAGTGCTTGGGAATTTCTAAATTATAAGAAGAGGTAAAAAAGGAGCATCCGAACTTGGTATGAAATACATAGTAGATCTGTGGTAGGAAAATGTATTTTTGTGGTTTGATGCCAGTAGTACTTTTAAGTACCAGTCTGATACTAGGACTGCGGAAGTACTAAATTGTGTCGAAAACTAGCTTTAAGCAGATTCTTAAATCGGGGAGCTTGAAATGAGAGCTGTAAACTTATTTTTCCTATCCTACATGTATTTTTTACTTTTTAAAAAGGAGGATTTAAATGGAGCAATTCAAGCATTATTACGCTTACAAGATACTTACAAATTAAAAACTAAAGATTTGGCTAATGGAATTCTTGAGGATATTAATATAAACAGACAAATGGATGGTGATGTTTGGTTATTAAATTATATAAAATAATTATTTATTTAATTTAGTAAAGGATTGTTATGAAATAGGTTTGGCTGCCTATAATGAAGAGGTTAGAATTTCTTGGCTTTGGAAATCCTAAAAATTTTGTCTGCAAAGCAGATAAAGGGAAAATTCCTCCTAAATACTAGATCTGAGGACAAAGCTATGATTTTGAATTGAAGCCAATTTTTTAATCTTTCTTTTCTATCCTATTGATACCAACCATAATTATTAATAGAGGCCGCGGAGTTAAGGGGCGTGGCTCCTCCCACACCTGGAAAGACCACGTCCCTAAAGCTACTCGAACACGAAGGTCGATCAGATACACCCCGTTCCTCACTTTCAATTTGGCTGGAACGAAATGAGTGGTTAATTTGTAATATAATTAATTAAAAAAGGATTATTACCACTCAATATTATGGATGGAAGAAGCAAATGAACGATATTATTTACTCGAAAAAGAATCAACAGAAATTAACAAATCTGATATTTTAAATATTTTGTCAATTTCTTTATATAAACAAGGAAATTTAAAGAGAGCTTTAATTATTAATGATAAATTAATTGAATTAGGTAATTCAGAATTAATTAATTTATTAAAAAATATTTAAAAAAAGATCCTTTATATCCAAATGCAACAAATAATTCAAAATTATATGAACAAGAATTATTAGCTAATGGAGTTAATGAAGAAGATTTTCGTTTAAATATACCTCCATTAAATAATTATAGACCATTAAACGATACATACTATGAGTCTGTTGATCGTTTGGCTTATGAAGAACTCTGTCGTGAAGAAAATGAAATTGTTTGTTAATTAGAATTAACTAAAAATAATTTTTAATTAATTTTTTAGAATATAACAGAAATATCCAAACTTTATTGTTATTACAAAATGGATCGTCCATTCCTTCGATTAGCCCCAATTAAAGTTGAAATAATTCGATTCGAACCTTTAGCTGTTATATTTCGTAATGTTATTTATGATGAGGAAATTGAAATAATGCAGAATATATCATTACCAAATTTTTTTAGATCTCCATTTGGAGAGATTGTAAAGAATCGTTCCAAATTTAGAATTAGTAAAAGGTTTTGTTAGAAATAATTTACTTTTTATTTTTAATTTTAAGTGCTGTACTTAACATAAAAACACATCCAATTGGTAAACAAATAGCTAAACGTTTGAAATTAATGACTAATTTAAATATGAAGTCTGCTGAACATTTACAAGTAAAATAATAATTTTTAGAAATTAAAAAAAGTTTCTATTTCAAAGATGGGGAATTATGGAATTGGCGGATATTGTGAACCTCATACCGATTTTCCTCAGGTTTATTCTTAATATAAATTAGAATTTTAAATTTTTAAAAAAATTAACGTTTTTAAAATCGAAATTCTGGTATAACATAAAAAATACATATTAAAAATTTTAATAAAAATACATATATATTTGTTAGAATACAAACGATTCAAATGCATCCATGGGTAGTGGATACAGAATTGGAACAGTCCTTTTTTATCTAAGTACACCAGAAAAGGGTGGATATACCGCTTTTAGTAATGTAAAAACAATTGCTAAACCAACTAAAAATGATGCTCTTTTTTGGTATAATTTGCGCAGAAACGGAGATAGAGATTTAAGAACTATGTATGGTTTTCTTTAAATATTTATGTATTACTTATTTAGGCATGCATCTTGCCCTGTTTTGCTTGGCGAAAAATGGTTCACGATTTCTTGGATACGTGAAAGAGGACAAGAATTTTTTCGTCCTTGTGGTTTAGATCCATCAATACAAGAACGTTATGTTGGTGATTTGGGGGGTCCAGAGCCCCGAAAATATCCAAATATATCACCATATTGAAAAGAAGGATTATATTGTAAGTGAAAATATGTAATTGTGATATCTATTTATACTTTTGATATTTCTAAAAATATTTGGTTTATATGTGGTGTAACCAATATGTTTACGACCACTTGATAAAATAAAATAACCGATAAATTGATAAAATTATTTTAGCGATTGGGCTCAGAAAATCTTCCCCCGTGGCATTTGGAGCCTTCGGCCCCAAACACGCCGGCTAGTCAGTTACTGTGTTTGACGCCTGTGTTGTGTTTAGCATGTGCGGTCGGTTGTCCCGCTGCTTTAGTGGCCTTTGGCCCCCATATACTGTGGCTTGATATTTTATACTATTATATGATATTTAAATACATATAACGGTTTTTGAAAAAAAAGTTTTTATTTGTATAGTAGTAAATAATTTATGTTTAGTAGTCTGTAAAAGAGTCGAAAGATTAATTTAAATTAACAAAAATAAAATTAAAATTTTTTAAAAATATCACAATTATTTTTATTCAGAATATAATCCTTCTTTTCAATATGGTGATATATTTGGATAATTTTTAGGCTCAGGACCCCCCAAATCACCAACATAGCGTTCTTGTATTGATGGATCTAAACCACAAGGACGGACAAATTCCTGCCCTCTTTCGTGTAACCAAGAATTCGAAACCCATTTATCTCCCAGCAAAACAGGACAGGCTGCATGCCTAATTTATCAACAAATTAATATTTTTTTAATACTCCAAAAACCTCGTTCTCATATCACCCTTTCCACTTCTCCACAAATTATACCAAAAAAGAGCATCATTTTTAGTTGGTTTAGCTACAGTTTTTAAATCAGTAAAAACTGTATATCCACCCTTTTCTGGTGTACTTAAATAAAAAAGAACTGTTCCAATTCTATTTCCATTAGAAATTGAATTAATAGATGTCTCTGTTATTGCTTCATCCTCCTATAAATATTTTTAAATGAATTATAATAAAAAATTTAGTAATTACCAATGCAAAGTCATAATGGGATTCATAATGTCCACCAATTCCGTAATTTCCAATCTAACAAAATTAATAAAATAATATTATTTTTCAATTCTTTTAAAGCTTTTTTGAGGTTTATTCTAAAGCTAATTTAGTTAATTACCTGTAACTGTTCAGTTCTTCCCATATCTAAACTTGTCATCATTCCTATACGTTTATCTATTGATAATGTCGTTGGATTTTCATTATTTCTTAGCCAAGCACTTTAGAATTTTAAAATTAAAAAATTTAAAAAAGAAATATTCCACCTTTTACTAATTCTGTAGGAAGCCGTCATTGGATTTCCAGTTTTTGGATCCTGAACTTTCGCCTGTCTAAGTTTTGGCTTAGATAACTTTTTTAATATTTCAATTTCTTCGTCAGCAATAACATTACGAAATATAACAGCTAAAGGTTCGAATCGAATTATTTCAACTTTAATTGGGGCTAATCGAAGGAATGGACGATCCATTTTGTAATAACAATAAAGTTTGGATATTTCTGTTATATTCTAAAAATTAATTAAAAATTATTAACTTTTTGTTTGAATAATTAAAGAAAGTATTTCTTTCAAAGCTAAATTTAACATTATTAAATTTATTTTTTAATTTTATTCTATAGAGCAGCCGACCCCATCCCAGAAAATAGCAAAAGACTTGCTGAGGCTTGATTTTGAAAGTTATCCGATTTATTAACCGATCAACCATGCCATCCCAACTAATCGTACCCTTTTTGTATTATTCTTTGGCTTGGAGGAAACACCTACCGCCTTGGAGTAAAAAAATTCCTCCTTTTCTGCTTGGAAATCCGCCGGCCATAATTATAAATTTTAATTAATTCCATATAATTTAAATATTTTTTAAAAATATAAAAAGTAAAAAATACCAAAGAAACTTCATCTCTACATAATGATTCATATAGTAATTGATCATCTATATCTACAGAATCATCTTTTTCTTCTTCTTTTATTGAGGTATTATTTAATTGAATATTATCAGTTTCATTTTTATTCTTTGTCAAGTTTCCCCATCTATAATTATTTAATGGAGGTATATTTAAACGAAAATCTTCTTCATTAACTCCATTAGCTAATAATTCTTGTTCATATAATTTTGAATTATTTGTTGCATTTGGATATAAAGGATCTTTTTTTTTAATATTTTTTAAAATTAATTAATTCTCAATTACCTAATTCAATTAAATTATCGTTAATAATTAAAGCTCTCTTTAAATTTCCTTGTTTATATAAAGAAATTGACAAAATATTTAAAATATCAGATTTGTTAATTTCTTTTGATTCTTTTTCGGGTAAATAATATCGTTCATTTGCTTCTTTCATCCATAATATTGAGTGATAATAATCCTTTTTTAATTAATTATATTACTAATTAACTACTCATTTCTTTCCAATCAAATTGAAAGTGAGGACGAGGTGTATCTGATTGACCTTCGGGCTTCGAGTCAAGCTTTAGCGACGTGGTCTTTCCAGGTGTGGGAGGAGCCACGCCCCTTAACTCCGCGGCCTCTATTAATAATTATGGTTGGTATCAGTATGATAGAAAAGAAAGATTAAAAAATTGGCTTCAATTCAAAATCTTAGCTTCGTCCTCAGATCTAGTATTTAGGAGGAATTTTCCCCTTGTCTGCTTTACAGACTAAATTTTTAGGATTTCCAAAGCCCTGAAATTCTAACCTCTTCATTATATGCAGCCAAACCTATTTCATAGCAAACCTTTGCTAAATTAAATAAATAATTATTTTATATAATTTAATAACCAAACATTACCATCCATTTGTTTGTTTATATTAATATCCTCAACAAGTCCATTAGCCAAATCTTTAGTTTTTAATGTGTAAGTATCTTGTAAACGTAATAATCCTTGAATTGCTCCATTTAAATCCTCCTTTTTAAAAATTAAAAAAATATTATGGGAGATTGCTGACCCAATTCTAAGGTTATCATTTCTCTCCGTTATTTTTGGTTGCTCTAAGTTCAAAACTGTTTGTTTTAAAAGTCTCGTATATTCTTCAATTTCTTCATTTAATAAAAAAAGACCCACCTCAGTAGGAAAGCGAGTTTCTCTTTGATTTGAAATATTTTTTAAATAATTTTCGGCCAAATCCGATTGAATTTCATTTGAAATTTCTTCCCATGTTTCTACTAATTTTTTTATTACTCTAAAAGCATTTAAAGGATTCAAAACACTTTTTGGTTCTAATTCATATAGTTCACTTTCTTCTTTTAAATATTTATTTGATATACTAAAAAATTATTTATAAATTAATCTTCAGTAACTATGTATGTATAATTATTATTTTATTGTAGTAAGTATTAGGGGTCTAGAAACCATACAAATAAATTTTTTTCAAGAATTTTTATAATTTTCAGGAATCGGTTGACTATTTAGAACTCGTGGTAATTATCGTTTATTTCTCCTGAGCCAGGAGATTCTCCTGAGCCTTCTCCATACAAATAATTTATTTTCTAAATTTTAACTAATCATTTCTTCTTCATTAATTAATGGTTCATAAATTAGAATTAATTTAAAAACTACCTTTTTAAATTTTCTAAACGTTTATTTTCCAATAAAATATAATTTTCTATAATTTTTGGAATTTCTTTTTCTACATGTACTAATTGTTGTAATTCTGCAGAAGATGTAAATAAGTCTTGGGAATTAATTAATTTAATTAAAATAAATAAATTAATTAAATAAAAATACATTTTTTGATTAAATTAATTTTTTAAATTTAATTTTTTAAATAATTCTTTGACTAATTTTGTTAGAAAAAAATTTTATATAAATTTTTGTATACTAAAATTAATGGCTAACAATTTCTCAAAACTTTATTTTATGTGTTGGCATTAAAATCGAAGGTTTCTTTTATTTAAAAATCTATTTTCTATCTTTATTACTTGACTCTTGCTCAATACAAACATTAAATATAAAATATATTAAATTCCATAAAATATAAAGTTTGGATAGCTTTGCATTTATTTAAATTTAATTTTCCATTCTTTTTAAATTGCGAATACTCGATAATTTTTATTTGAATTAACGGGGAAAAGGTAAAAGAATTTTTTATTGATTTGGCATGAGACCTAAAATTATAATCAGAAAATGATTTTATTTTTTGTACTTTAACTTTTAATAAATATAAAAATGTATAGCTTCATTTTATTTTAATAAAGTCAAATCCTGATATAGTTTAACCTCTTGGAACTGAAAAATCAAATGGAAGGAGGTATCGGTTAGGCATCTCCCTACCAGAGGTGGGTCGGAACAGTCAGAGGTGTCGGAAATCGGAAGAGCCGTAAATCAGAACTGGCTCGAAAGTCGGGACTCGGAAATCGTAAGGAAAAAACGCCGGAAATCGGAAGTCGGAATTCCGACCCACCTCTGCTCCCTACCAATTAGTGGCCAGCCACATTAAATACATATATAACATCTTCGACTGAGTTTTATTTTTATATTAAGTACCTATTTATTATTGTATAATATTTTAATTTTTCTTTTGTTATATTTTTAATAATTTAAAATTAAACTTTTAAAAAATTCTTTATATATTTAAATGCAATATTAAAAATCACAAAAAAAAATATTTTTAAAATATTTTCTTTATTTTTTAGCTCTTTTATCAATTTAATTAAATTTCGCTAGGCTTTCCTGTATTGCACACAATGGATTGTTCTAAGTTATCTATTGGAATAGTATTATTGTTATTTGTAAGAACATCTTCGACCAATTCCAAATGCTTTAAAAATTAATTTTTAAAAATCAAAAAATTAAATTTTCAAATTAATTTCCAAATATCCTACCGTATACCAGTTTAATTGCCCTCCCTCAAATAATTACCCCGTTTCCATTAACAGCGATAGTGAAACAATAATTACCCCCCCCCCCAACAGATGCCCTAAAACACGTTCAAATTATTTCAAACCTCGTATAATTACTCACCCCCGATTAATTATTCCCCCCAGCGGAAGGTCGAATAATTACCCAGGGTAGTTATTAAATATTTAAGGTATCCCTTTAACCGACTGATAAAATTAACTTTAGAATTTTAATTGTAAAAGAATTAAAAGAAATTTTTTTTTAATTAAAACTTACTCTTGACAATTTATTTAATTCTTCTTTTTCTTCTTCTCCACCTTTCTCAAAATTATTTTCTTTTATTATTTCAATTTCTCCATTCTCTTTTAAATGTTCTTTTTCATCTTCCTCCTCCTTACTAGTTTGACAAAATTCTTGATTATTTTCTGAATTATTAATATCTTTTATGTCTTCATCTTTTTTATTTTCAATTAATTCACAAATATTTTCTTCCTTCAAATTTTCCTTTTGCTTAGTTTCCGATTCTTCTATTTTATTATTTTCCAACAAATCAACATCCCCATCAGTTTTTTGTTCTTCTTTAGGTTCTGAATTATTTTCTTTTTCTATCGAAATTTCAGTTTTTAGGTCATTTTCTTTTAAATTTTGAATTTTCTGTTCCTCCTCATTTTTTGGAATATTTTCTTAAATTTTTAAATTAATTATTATTTAAATTAATTTAAATTAATTTAAATTACCCAAAATTGGTTCTTCCAATTTATTTTCATTTTTTTCTTCTAATTTTTCTTTATTTTCTTCGTTATTATCAGCAGAAACTACAGCATTGTCTGTCCAAACTTTAGCCATTTCTGTTGCTGCATTTTGAATATAATCATTCTTTTCTGTTGATATACAAACTGCTACAGGTTCGTCAGAAGCTGTTCGGCCATTGGTTGATGCTGTTGGTGGAAATGCGACCTTTTAATAATAAAGAGAGATGTTTTGTTAATTTTAATAAAAATTATTTTAAAAATAAATATTTCAAAGTAATCTAAAAATTCCAATAATTAGTTGTTTGGATAATATTTTTTTAATTTTAATGTAAAATTAAATTACTTCATCATTAATTTCAGTTGAATGTCGATTAGTTCCACCATTTTTAAGAGAATATTTTTTAGAATGCTTTTGACCCATTAATTTTTAATTTAATAAATTCTAATGAAAAAAATATTTTTTGTTATTTAATAGTATATATTTATCTGTAAATAAATTTAAAAAAATTATTTTTAATTCAAAAAGATGATTATTTAAAAGTAGAAAAGCTTTATAGAATAAAAAGAATTTAAAAAGCTCTTCTCTTTCCCCATTTCAATCACCATTTTCCAACCATTTTTATTTGCCGCATCGATTTATAGGTTTATATAAAAATAATTATATATTTCGATTTATAATTATTCTCAGCAACCCAAACACAAAATCTGTCCATAATTTCCGTCCCCAAATGTGTGAAAAGCAAAAAATAAAATAAAAATAACCCCCCAGTGTCAGTCAATTTATTTTTCGACCAATAAAAAAAATTTTTTCTTTTTTTAATTCTTCTGCATCATCACCCCTTTTTCCCTTCTAAAATACCCTTTGAGTGGCAATTTTATAGGGTAATACTATCATAAAAGAATTTATATGTATGGACATAAAAAGAATGGAAGAAAATGAGTGGCGGTCATTTTTCTAAAAAAAATTTTTTTTGTTAAAATATATATACACGAAAACAAAGTAAAATGAGAAGCTAGTAAAATTAGAAATGAAAAGCTTTTAAATTTTTTTGGAGATTCATTTGTAATGCATGTCCATCAATATATAATGTGGATATTTTAAAGTACATAAAGAAAATAAAAAAAAATAAATTAATGAAAAGCTTTAAATAAATTTATACATACATATTAAAGGAGTTTAATTAAATACTAAAAATATTTAGAAGTTTAAGTTTCTAATTTTCGGTATCAGGGTACGGTGCCGGAGTGCCAACCAGAGGTGTTTCGAAACAAAAAATCTTCGAAAATCGAAAATCGAAAGAAAAATAACCTCGAAAAACGAAAATCGAAAATCGAAATTTCGAAACAGCTCTGGTGCCAACAAAGCGTAGCAATGAAGACAAAAATTATTAGAGGCTCGTTTTCAAATATTTTTTGTTTTTCAAAAATCCCTAATAATTTATCTCCTTTCTACAGTCAACCACAGTTAAAAAACGTACACTAAACTGACAGTTATATTATAACGAGATAAGGTAACGCGAGATAAGGTAACGCATATAAGATAAGGTAACGCAAAGACAATTAAAGAATATTTTTACTACAAAGTATTTTTCTTTAGAATTTTTTCTTTTAAAATATTTTTTAGAAAAATATTTAAAAGCAAAATAAAATGTTATTAAATAATAGGATGTTCCTATATAATTTACCTTCAGTTAATAATAATTTTCAGATAAGAGAATTCTAAAAAAGGACAATAAATAATAAAATAACTAAATTTGTGTATTAGTCATAAATAGGAATATTAAATAAGTAAATAATTTTGAAATAAATTACAAGAAAAAAATAACTATTAATGGAAATTAATAGAAAAGTATATTTAACCAATAAAAAAGTAAATATGTAGGTAGTTAATAAAAAGAAATTAATAAATTGAAATTAAAACAAAAAAATATACAAAAATATTATAAGCCTACCTTAAATATTAAAATATATAATACCTAATATCCATTTTTAATTTAATAGTCTACATATTTAACCATTTATAAATAAAAAGATCCAAATAAATTCCTCACCTTTTTATTAAGAAAAACCCAAATATTTAAAAAGAATTTGTGTTCTTTTTTAGGAAAAACAAAATTTAAAAATAAAATCATCCCCTCCTCCCAAACTTGTCCTCAGTCATTTCATTAAATAAATATTTTGTGATGAATTATTTTGGCGCCATTGGCTCAAACTGATAAGAGAAAAGTAAAAGCTATTTGGAATTTAAACAATTTTTTATTCACTCTCCCTTTCCTCATTTTTGGTAGCAATGAATGATTGAAACAAGAAAAATAAAAAAAGAGAAAGGAATGAATCACAGACATTTTTTAAGAAAAAAAAGGAAATAAATAATTGTGATTACATTTTATATATTTTTCTAAACAAAATATATTTATGATATATTAAATAAATAAAAATTCAAAAATGTTAGAGGAAGCCGTCAGCTGTTTTTAATTAAAAAATGATAAATAAATAATTTTATATTTTATGAGTAAATTCGATAAAATATGAAAATTAATTTGGAAATTAGGTAGACTTTGGATAATATAGAAATAAAGTTAATTTACGAAAAAAAATAAAATGTAAATTTAAATTAAATTTTAAACTTTTATTACGTAAAATAATTAAGTACTTTAATTGTAATTGTAAATTAATTTGGAAAGATTTTTTATGAAAATATTTTTTCTTTTAATTTATTTAAAATTTGTAAAGCCAATAAACATAACCAACCAGCAATACAATAAACCTTTAAAAAATAATGAAAAAATTTTTTTGTTTTTTTTGAATCCAAATATTTTTTCCCAATAATTCTTAAATTATTGAACTATATTTTCAATTTAACCTTTCATTCTTTTTAAATTAAACCCCAACTAAATGTAAATAATTTAATTATTTAATTGGTTCATTTAAAATTATTTAAATTACTTGTTCAATTTTATCTGTGAAGAACAAGATGAGTTAAATCCTCCACTACCGCTACTGCTTCGACCTCCCCTCCCTCGATAGCCACCGCGATATCCTCCACCACCTCCCCATCCTCCTCCACTTCCTCCACTACCTCCACCACCACCTCCCCGTCCTCCGCGACTACTTCCACCACCTCTACCTCCTCCTCT